AGACCAGATGAAAATTGCATTATCCTAATTTCAAGTTCATAAATGCTATATTAGTAAACAGTGTACAACGTTGCTAATATTATATGGAATATTTTCCAATTTACCATTGATTTACCAGTTTTCAATGCCCCCTCAAATTTTAAAGAATGGATATTTTTCAAATACTTTTTCATAGACCAGCCATTTGTAATTAACAAAATTTTTCATTTCCAGGAATTAATCTATCAAAATCCAGTGAAATCTAGAAGAATGTTCTGGTAAAAGAGCATGGTACACAAGTAAAATCGTGAATTTTCATTCACTATTAACAAACAAATACCATCGAACAACCATGGCTGTCATTTTTTCCGAAATCCTCCAACTACCTTTTCAGTTAAACCAAAAATCGTAAAATAAAACACATCAAAATGGCTACCATTTTTAAAATGATGCTCACATGTGGTCATTTTGAAAATCTGCTTTCGAGCAGAACTTCTTCCCCCATAAGGCACATTTGCACAAAATATGAACAAAATCAGGCCAATGGTATTTGAGTTATCAACCGGATCATGGATGGACGGAGGGACAAACAGAGGTGTTCCCTATATCCCTCCAAACTTCATTTGATGGGATAATAAAGGGTTTCATTTATGTGTAGCTCTGTTCCTTGCGAAGTTGATAATATAATTTCGGAGTGAACTAAATTCTCAATACAATCTAGGAGCAACGTCATCACCCAGGCAGTACACAAATTCATGCCATTCATACATGATAGCAACCACAATGCTAGTTGGGAACATTAAAAGAATAATGAATAGAAATATGGCCAATCAACAACATGAAAGCCACACCACATAGTGTATCAAGGGAAGGTATCTTATAGATTTACTCTAAATATCTGAGTAATTATGTTGGAGAGTAGGAAGGGCTTATTTATATTTGCTCAATGTAAATCAATCTGGAATAAAAGGCATTAGCATGACCTAGTTGCTCTATATATCATTAGTTCAATCTAAAGTCAGTTCTGAATTTCTGTACATGATTTTGAAAAAACAAATTGGTCAATTTGAAGCAAGTTCAAAAATGACCTTTTTGACCCTGAGAAGATCATTGAAGGTGAAATTTCAAATCTCAAGTCAGATTTGAACTTTTGAGAATTTGATGATTTTGAAAAAAATTGGTCAATTTGAATTAAGCTGAAAAAAGACCCTTTTGACTTTGAAAAGGTTATTGAAGGTCAAATCTTTTTTGACTTTCTGGACGTAATTGAAGGTCAAATCTATAGTTAGATCTGAACTTTTGAGAACTTGTAGAAGATTTTGAAAAAATTGGGTCAATTTGAAGCAAGATGAAAAATACCTTTTTGACCTTCAGAAGGTCATTGAAGGTCAAATCTCAAATCATAAGACAGATTTGAACTTCTGAAAACTTGTACATGATATTGGAAAAAATTGAAGTCAGTCTAAACAGTATTTGTTAATTTATCATAATCTTAATCTGTATAACTTTAGTTTTTCTTGTGATATCAAATGATATTGTAAGACTTATACATCATTTCTGATTTTACCCTTTACTTGAAAATTCATTTTCTTTTGCAATCTTTGAATCATTAAGTTTTATTAGCAAGATTCCTTAGTGGTGGTGGAAAAGTCGGGCATCACTTTTTGATTTGCCAGGTATCAGATCAGGTTTTAAATGTATTTTTGTATCAGATATGTACATCTAGTTGCAGAATTTGAGAAAGTAAAGGATTTCACTTAGAGTACTAAGGAACAACCATTGATGTATACGAGGTCCTAATACACTGCCTTGTGACACACTAACACACTAAAATCAGGTTCTGATCATTTCTAGAAAGAATTATTTACTCTGCTGACCTTCACTTTTCTTTATAATAAATAGAAAATTCATTAAGTTGAGAGATCTTACAGGCTGTGTATATCATCTTTCTGTTAGAATAAAAGCCTCCCAAAGCTGAACTATATTAGCAGAACTGAGACATTTTGTGTCATTGTGATATCTTTTCTCGTAATGGGTTGTCGCATAAGGGAACATCTCTAAAGTTCAATATAGGATTACTAACTGTATTTGAACATATATTTAAGGAATACAGACTGAGATTCTATGATTTATGGCGGAATATATGACCGAAAATTTTATTCTGCTCATTGTTAAAAGACCGAAATCGCGTAGCGATTGAGGTCTTTTGCAATGGGCAGAATAAAATTTGAGGTCATATATTTGCCATAAATCATAGAATCGAGGTCTTTGTTGCAATTCTAACATGATAAAACCTAAGTTTCTTCCAATTTAATCATTTTCAATCTGAAAAATTCTAATGTTTTGGACATTCTATTTACTGGATTTCCTCCTAGCTAAATAGTTTGCAAAAATATCAATAATGAAACTGACGTCACATATTGACATCTGTCATGTCTATATTGTGACTAAATTGGTTCAGAGGGGGTGAGTATGCAATTGTAAAAGTCATTACATTTTTTGGTCTATATTGAAATTTACAGTTCATACATACCCCAATATAGACCAATAAATCATTTGTTCTTGTCATTGTGACTTAGGTTTTATCATGTTAGAATCGTAACAAAAAACTCAATTCTATAAATCAATTGTTCTCGTCATTGTGACATCACATATCATGTTAGAACTAACATTATGTAATAGAGTCAATTTTTTATAATTATTCCAATCTGTATTTTTTGTACAGTATCAGCATAAATTTATTTATTTGTATTGTCTCTCACTGTAGAATCCGGAGTTTATATCCAACAAAATTTGCTCAAATAAAATTACTACGAACGATATTGGAAAGCTAACTTTTAAAATGCTCCCCAACTATTCATAAATTCCTCAGATTACCTGGAAAGCCAGTCACTAGATTTCCCTCCCACAGGTCTGGGAGCTGAACTGTAAAATATCATACCAATATTGTAAAGCATTTATATGAATGGGTCTGAAAATTTAAGAAGATCAAAATCTCAAATGTAGGCTTCATCATACATACAGTAAAACCCATCTGATCCGAATACCACTGGGACCTGCCAAATGTGTTTGGATTTGCAGATGTTCACATTCCAATGTTTTAACAATGCTCATCTATGGCATATTAAAACAAGGCATTAGCATGCAAAATGATGTCACCACCTGCCATTTGTTACAGGTGCCAAACGCAGGATGCCGTACACCAACCATCCTTACAGCGACCATAACAATGTGTCACCACTTTTGGCATTGACATAAAAACTGGTCCAAAAAAGTATTCATGTTTAGAGGTATTAAGCTTGGAGATATTTCAGATATACATGTTTTACTGTACTGGATTCATAAAATGCTTATTTGGACTCATCTGACATTGGTGAGTCACTATTTATATTGATTAGACTTGACTATGATTACTCTTAAATAATTAAACAGCTAGTTCATAACATTTCCACTGAGACAAATCCATTTATTGAGATACATACAATTAATAATACACACAGATGGGCTGTTTTGAGTATAACTTTGAGATGTGTCCAATTCTACGAGCCAGTCATAGATAAGACAGAGTGAACAGTATTCAGGGTTCTCACTCGGCTTTTAGACTCCGAAGTCAAATGTCTTAAAACCCTCTTGCTCCAGAGTCTAATAACTTTTCCGGAGTCTAAAGTGTTTTTTCAGCAGTCTAATTTTACATTTTTGTCAAATTATTTGTGGAAAAACTCTTGAGAAAATACATAAAACTGGATACAAACAAGGAATAGGAAGTCAGAAACCTTTTAGAAACCAGAGCAACGGCAACGCCAAAGTGTAGCGAATCCCATCGAACAGCCATGGATGGCATTTTTACAAACAAAGTATATAGCAAAAATGGCAGCCATTTTTGAAAATGGCGGCCTTCTACCAAAAGAGTCATTAGACCATGTACCATGCTTATAGTATTAACATACCAAATATGAACAAAATCGCTTCACTACTTTTCAAGTTACAGTAAAATACGTTAAAATGGCGGCCATTTTTCAAAATGGCCATCTTCTACCAAAAGTGCCATTAGACAGTGTGCCATGCTTATAGTATTTACATACCAAATATAAACAAAATTGCTCCACTACTTTTCGTGTTATAGTAGAATATGTTAAAATGGCGGCCATTTTTCTAATTTTTTTTCAAAATGATCGCCTTCATAGGACAGTGTGTCATGCTTATAGTATTCACATACCAAATATGAACAAAGTCGCTCCACTACTTTTCGAGTTATAGTAAAATATGTTAAAATGGTGGCAATTTTCAAAATGGCGGCCATTTTTCAAAATGGGCGCTTTCTACCAAAAGTGTCTTTAGACAGTGTGCAATGTTTATAGTATTCATATACCAAATATGAACAAAATCGCTCCACTACTTTTCGAGTTATAGTAAAATACGTTAAAATGGTCGCCATTTTTCAAAATGGCGGCCATTTTTAAAAATGGGCGCTTTCTACCAAAAGTGTCTTTAGACAGTGTGCAATGTTTATAGTATTCATATACCAAATATGAACAAAATCGCTCCACTACTTTTCGAGTTACAGCAAAAATCGTAAAATAACGATTAAAGGCTGCCATTTTTCAAGATGGCTGCCATGTGCTTCTTTAATATCTACATTTCTTGCTTTTTTAATGTCCTATATAATTTTTTTACAACTAAAATATATTGCTATTACAGTTTTACATATTGCACCTAAATTACTGTAAATTCGGCACAAAATGGCCGCAATTTTGAAGTGAGCGGCCATTTTGAAAATCGGCTTTCGAGCAGAACTTCTACCCCCATATGTGTACAAAATATGAACAAAATCAGGCCAACGGTATTTGAGTTATTGCCCGGACGGACGGACGGACGGACGGATGGACGGATGGAGGCGTTCCCTATATCCCTCCGAACTTCGTTCGATGGATAATAAATATTGGGATTAAAATAGCAAGATAATCTTAAGAAGTATGTTGAAAAGTACACTAATAGGATATCTCTGATCTCACATGGGGGAGAAGTAGTCGCGATACCACGAAAAAAGTAGTCATTTTAATGCTAAAAATCTGGGGTCTAAAACTTTCCATGTGAGAACCCTGGTATTGCACCGAAAATCAAAAATGACTGCCCTTAAATTTACCCAGTGAACCAAAAAAGTTGAAATCAATTTTTCTACTTTCCACTTTTTTTTGTTAAACATAAATGTATAAAAAACGATGATGTTCAATCCAGGTCTTCAAAGTAACACTCCAAGCAGTCCAAATCATTTATAAAAATAAATGGACACTCTCCATCACTTCTCCACCACCTGCCATATCTTAACAATGGAGTCATCACTTGCTGACGCTAAAAGTCCAGGTATTTTTGGATTCCAGCACAATCCATTAACATCTTGTGTATGTGCTTGGTATTGTGTATGAAGTAAGTCAAAGGAAGGTTGGTTTTTATCTGTATTACAGTCACTTTCCTTGAATAATCTTATTGCATTGTCGACACAAGCAGTTGCTATGTAGTCAGTTAGCGAACACCTGGAAACAATCATGGAGGATTTTACAATCTTCATTCTAAGACAAATATAGACACCAAAACAAGGCATTAACATGACAACATACTTTACTATACAAAATAAAACAAATTGTTTTCTGGATTTTGGATAGATAAAGTAAAACTGCTTTTTCATGTATTTCGCTTAAGTTTTTCCTCCAAAAACATCAATACACTTTAAAACATTATAAGATTGCATTATAAGATTGCACCATATAATCCCCAAAAAATATTTCTCATTTTCAAGGATTATCTATGGATTAACACCCAGGTATTTTAATTTTTCATATTTCAGAGGGCTGGGAATCATTGATAATCAATGCTTTTGAATAATATAAATGCTTTTTTAATAGCTATAAATAGGCTTTATGTATGCCAATAATTTCTCAAATTGTGTAAACTGTACATATTCTTAATTCCTAAAATTTTCTCTTTGAGGAATTTCCCATAGAAATCCAATGGTTCAGTTCCAAGCAGATTTTGAGATAACAGGAAAGTTAACGTTTAATACACACCTTTTGGGTTGCGATATAAAGACAACTCGTTCAATTTTAAGATCTGACGAAATTTTTGAAGTCAAGACAAACCATAATTCAATACTATTCTAGTATCTACTCACTTCGCAACTCTACCAGACAGTAGGGGTTAACAAATATACTATAAATTCTAATATACGACAAGTTGTGAATTGACCACAGTTTGACAGTATCTATGCTCAATATTGATGTTATTATGTAATAATACAGGACATGAGTATATTAATCCAAGGATCTCATGCTGCTCACTAAGCCCCAATCAGAAATGAACAGCATGAATTATTGCTGATCAAATGGTGAAAACTTACCATTTAACATCATATATGGTTCTTGGATGTTGACCTGACAATGTACACACACACTTCCATGCGCTGTCCGAGCCCACTGTAGCCACACCTTCATGGAAATAATAGATGTTGTTGTTATGGGAGGTTATCCTCGGAGATACTTAGTATTTATATAGGTTTTATCTCCATGCACTTAATTACCTGGGAATCATTATCAGAAACTTCCTAAAGTTAAGAGCTATCAAATCAATTATTGTCACCATGGATATAATGATGTCATAAGAGATCGAGAATAATGAACTTAATATTCTTAACTTAACACACATTTCTGTTAATGTCTTCCTGGATAAATATTAAAATGAAATTATATTAATGATTTTATTTCATTCATTTTTATAAATCAAACAAAAAGTTAAAAATGTGAGAAAAATGACTAATATATGACAAAAGTGACGTGACACATAGTTTTATAGAGTGTGGGTTACTTAGTCCAATGAGTGGGGGTATCTAATTAGCACTTTAGAATGAATTTTCCTGAACATTGAATGTTTATTAGTGTATTTGATGAATCAATCAGAGGTGTAAATTGAACCTTCATAGAATTTTATAATAATAACAAATTAACATATTGGGTTATACCCTCGACCAATATGATAATATAAATGAAAATTTAAAGGGCGCCATCTATGTTGCATGGGTAGATTCAACATACAGCCCATGCTATAAGATCATGAAAAGTAAAATATCTTTTCTAGTATTGGCCAGATAATATTTTCTTTTACTGGGCATATTATTTTCAATTGTAAAATTATCCAACTCAAAAAGGTTGAAAATTGATCCATAAATCTTGTGAATATTGAAGTTTAGAGGAATGTTCTCCTATATTTGCCTTGTTATTTGACCTGAATTAGGCACCTGGTGGGAAAACTGGAAACTTCCTACTGTCACCTTGGTAATTGCTCTCAGAGAATGTGTCCTACTTGCAATGAAGATCACGAGTGCAAGTCTCACTTTTCTTTGTTCAATAATTAAGAATTATGGTATCAAAAAAGGATATTGGGTTTTACTCATGAGATGTGTTCTTTTTCTAATAAGCACAATAAAAACATGAATAACTCATGAGATATTACCTTCAGTATTTCCTGGTAGATATTCCTGCCATATTTTCAATGTTTTGTCATCACTACATGACGCAAGGCGTTCTCCTGTTTTATCGAAGGAAATGGCCCACACAGTTGACTCATGGGAGGCTAGAAAAAATTATGAATAATGTATCTTGCAATATAACAGTTGCTATATAAATGGATAAATTGATCACAGTCAGGTTTTCGGATGGGCTACATACCATTATATGGTATGCAAAAGAACTGATAAAAGTCACTTAATTTTGATTTATCTAATATTTTTGATTGGATTTTAAAGTGAACCACTTCAATTGCATATTATTAGATGATCTTGTTGACATGCAATTTGCGGTTTAACCTTATGATTTTCACTGGTGATCCGCTCGATTACGCTGGTTACCGAAACGGTTCGTTTTGGTACCAAAATGTCGGAACGTCGAAGGTAGGATTTTTCTTTTTTTCCTTTTTTCACGCGTTGTAGGCAGAATTCCCATGACGTTTTTTTTCACAAACATATATCAGCATCATATGTTTTAGAAAATGTACATGTTTGCGAAAAAATAGCTCAGAAGACAACAGAATCGTCAATTTAATTCCTTACTTAAGTTACAAAACGGTTTGGGTTAAAAGTGCAGATCTATCTGTTTTTCGAAAAAAACGTTTATGTAATTTAAGTGAGGAATTAAATCGGTGATTCTGTTGTCTTCTATTTGTTCGCAAATATGTACATTTTCTTAAACATATCATACTGATACACGTTTGTGTTAAACATGTCGTGGGAATTCTGCCTAAAACGTGTGAAATAAGGAAAAAAGAAAAATCGTACTTCGATGTTCCGACATTTAACGAACTGTTTCGGTAACCAGCGTAATCGAGTGATCAAGATTACAAAGCTACATGTACATAGAACAAAGGGTGTATTCGTATCAGGTAATATGCCAGAGAGCATATACACAGTGGAGTTGATTAATGAGAGAGACAAAAAGTAACTTTCAAAATCTTTTTGTTTGTTCATATCAATCTACTTATCATAAGAGAGTTCAGGAACTGCATCAATGGCCAGCAATACATGATTTCCTCTTTGGTTGGTTTTACAAGAATTGCCTGTCATTTTGAGGAATTTAATCTATTTCCATGTTTAAAATCACAATTTCAAATAATTCTGACTGCTGGTTTCATTCAATTTGCCTGTTCTTGGAAAGTCTAATGGAATCCTTGGAAACAATTTTGTATGTGTATGTATTCACATAAGTTCTGGTAATAAAAAATCATCAAACCTATCAATTCAAAAAATTTGTTGCATAATTTGTTACAATGACAATATGGTGTTTTTAAACAGGTTGAACCCCCCTGGCAAAAATTATTCTAAAATCATGCAGTTTTACACCATTTTGCTTGAACTTGAACTTTCGAGTTTATGTGAATTTCAAGCAGAACTGTCAAATTTGAACCTCCTGGCACAGATGATAGAATTTAGTGTTTGGTTAAATTAAAACACTGCATATAATTTGTTACCTCATATATGACACATTATACAATTAATTTAGGAGCTTTGGATGAACAGACATGTTAAATGTGCCATCTATCTTGTAACAATCAATTAAATCTCAGAAAGAATCATGTTGCATCATGGCTTGGCAATACTTGAATCAGGGCAATGTTAGATTCTTGGTCGTATAGCTGCCAATGATAAAATCATGACTGTATAGCTGCAAAGGTTAGAAATATGATACATCTATCAATGCTATAATCATGATTGTATAGCTGCCAATGCTAGAATCATGACTGTATAGCTGCCAATGCTAGAATCATGATTGTATAGTTGCCAATGCAAGAATCATGATTGTATATCTACCAATGCTAGAATCATGATTGTATATCTACCAATGCTAGAATCATGATTGTATAGCTGCCAATGCTAGAATCATGATTGTATATCTACCAATGCTAGAATCATGATTGTATAGCTGCCAGTGCTAGAATCATGATTGTATAGCTGCCAATGCTAGAATCATGATTGTATAGCTGCCAATGCTAGAATCATGATTGTATAGCTGCCAATGCTAGAATCATGATTGTATAGCTTCAAAAGCTAGAATCATGATTGTATAGCTGCCAATACTAGAATCATGATTGTATAGCTGCCAATGCTAGAATCATGATTGTATAGCTGCCAATGCTAGAATCATGACTGCATACTACACTTTGCATTCATTCGACTACACTTCTTAAAAGAGAGCTTCATCTTTTATCTTTAAGTTTACAATAAATCTTTGAACTCACTGAGCCATTCAGTGTTTGTCGTCGAAAAACAGATGGCTTTTTGTATGTGGAAATTTCCCCTGATGTCATGGCATAGTTAATGAGCACATATTTAGCATGTGCTTCTTCCAGTTCGCTGATTGGTTGAGAAATGATCAGCATGGTAGGTTTGAAATGATTTATGACTGGGCTGTCATCGAATTAGACTGTGGGGGCGGACTACTAAACTGTAATATAGCCTGTACTAGGCAGAGGGTAGTTTATAACTACACTGCATGCAGGGTATTACATACATACCAAGAGTGCTAAAACAGGACCAATCATCACCGTCATTCTTAAACATTTTGATAGTATTGTCATAACTAGCAGATGCAACAATCTGAAAAGTAAAGCATTGAAAAAATATATTTACATAATCCAGTAAAGTTTGAAAACTGTGACAAACACTTTGCTGGACAATTATTCCCAGAATTGTAATATTCTAATATTCTTTAGTGAACACCTCTCTCTAGTGAAACCATTTCTTGTAATGTACGATGTACAGGTTTCATTAAGGTATGAGATAAGACTGAAAATATCAATTGATTGTAACTATAGGGAGATTGCAGTAACAGTATATTTATACAAGGCAATAACATGCAAAATGTCACCACAAGCCATTTGTTACATATGCCAACCATCGAACACCAATTGCTTACCTCCAAGCACCAACTGCCGAACACCATCCACAAAAAAGTTGGAGACTATTACTGTACAATATATCACCTTTTCTGGTGGTGACATAAAAATACACTTCTAATGTTCTCTGTTAACATGCTTGTATTATTCTATTATCATATATGATGCCACCTAGACTGCAATGGAGTATAACATACCTCTTTGGTAGGATGCCATAAAACCATCTTAACATCCTGGGAATGGGCATTCAACACACTTTCACATTCAAACTCAGCATCTTCATCCACTGAAAGGCAATCAGTATGTTGAACTTAAATAGATGGAGATGTTCCATTTTGCTATTTCAAATAGCATTTAAGAGATGTGATCGATGTGATTGTAGTACTAAAACTCAGCATCTTCATCCACTGAAAGGCAATCAGTATGTTGAACTTAAATAGATGGAGATGTTCCATTTTGCTATTTCAAATAGCATTTAAGAGATGTGATCGATGTGATTGTAGTACTAAAACTCAGCATCTTCATCCACTGAAAGGCAATCAGTATGTTGAACTTAAATAGATGGAGATGTTCCATTTTGCTATTTCAAATAGCAATTTAAGAGATGTGATTGACGTGATTGGAGTACTAAAACTAGCATCTTCATCCACTGAAAAGGCAATCAGTATGTTGAACTTAAATAGATGGAGATGTTCCATTTTGCTATTTCAAATAGCATTTAAGAGATGTGATCGATGTGATTGTAGTACTAAAACTCAGCATCTTCATCCACTGAAAGGCAATCAGTATGTTGAACTTAAATAGATGGAGATGTTCCATTTTGCTATTTCAAATAGCATTTAAGAGATGTGATCGATGTGATTGTAGTACTAAAACTCAGCATCTTCATCCACTGAAAGGCAATCAGTATGTTGAACTTAAATAGATGGAGATGTTCCATTTTGCTATTTCAAATAGCATTTAAGAGATGTGATCGATGTGATTGTAGTACTAAAACTCAGCATCTTCATCCACTGAAAGGCAATCAGTATGTTGAACTTAAATAGATGGAGATGTTCCATTTTGCTATTTCAAATAGCAATTTAAGAGATGTGATTGACGTGATTGGAGTACTAAAACTAGCATCTTCATCCACTGAAAAGGCAATCAGTATGTTGAACTTAAATAGATGGAGATGTTCCATTTTGCTATTTCAAATAGCATTTAAGAGATGTGATCGATGTGATTGTAGTACTAAAACTCAGCATCTTCATCCACTGAAAGGCAATCAGTATGTTGAACTTAAATAGATGGAGATGTTCCATTTTGCTATTTCAAATAGCATTTAAGAGATGTGATCGATGTGATTGTAGTACTAAAACTCAGCATCTTCATCCACTGAAAGGCAATCAGTATGTTGAACTTAAATAGATGGAGATGTTCCATTTTGCTATTTCAAATAGCATTTAAGAGATGTGATTGATGTGATTGGAGTACTAAAACTCAGCATCTTCATCCACTGAAAAGGCAATCAGTATGTTGAACTTAAATAGATGGAGATGTTCCATTTTGCTATTTCAAATAGCATTTAAGAGATGTGATCGATGTGATTGGAGTACTAAAACTAGCATCTTCATCCACTGAAAAGGCAATCAGTATGTTGAACTTAAATAGATGGAGATGAACCATTTTGCTATTTCAAATAGCAATCTAAGAGATGTGATTGACGTGATTGGAGTACTAAAACTAGCATCTTCATCCACTGAAAAGGCAATCAGTATGTTGAACTTAAATAGATGGAGATGTTCCATTTTGCTATTTCAAATAGCATTTAAGAGATGTGATCGATGTGATTGTAGTACTAAAACTCAGCATCTTCATCCACTGAAAAGGCAATCAGTATGTTGAACTTAAATAGATGGAGATGAACCATTTTGCTATTTCAAATAGCATTTAAGAGATGTGATCGATGTGATTGTAGTACTAAAACTCAGCATCTTCATCCACTGAAAAGGCAATCAGTATGTTGAACTTAAATAGATGGAGATGTTCCATTTTGCTATTTCAAATAGCATTTAAGAGATGTGATCGATGTGATTGTAGTACTAAAACTCAGCATCTTCATCCACTGAAAGGCAATCAGTATGTTGAACTTAAATAGATGGAGATGTTCCATTTTGCTATTTCAAATAGCATTTAAGAGATGTGATCGATGTGATTGTAGTACTAAAACTCAGCATCTTCATCCACTGAAAGGCAATCAGTATGTTGAACTTAAATAGATGGAGATGTTCCATTTTGCTATTTCAAATAGCATTTAAGAGATGTGATCGATGTGATTGTAGTACTAAAACTCAGCATCTTCATCCACTGAAAGGCAATCAGTATGTTGAACTTAAATAGATGGAGATGTTCCATTTTGCTATTTCAAATAGCAATTTAAGAGATGTGATTGATTGATTGTGATCGATGTGATTGTAATACTAAAACTTTGAAAACTAAAAAATTTCATCAATCGTTAACATATCTTATCCTACACTTAGTGTACTAAATGTATAATAACATTAAAAAATAAATTTAATATTTATTGGCAAAATGAATATCCGGAGGATATAGTAATGATATACTCCGGGCGGAGGATATTGTGACGATATACTCCTGAAAACCCAATATGCGGTGGATATTGTGACAATATACTCCGCTTGTTGATTTCCCGCCATATTGACTCTATTTGGCATGAAATTCATTTTGCAATGATATTATACATTTAGTACACTCCTTATAAGTGTAGGATAATAAGAACATCCTATGATTTATTTTCAGAATATCATTTTAATCTACTCTGTGATATTGATATATGCACTCGTTCGCTTCGCTCTCTTGTGCAGATATCAATATCACCTCGTAGATAAAAATGATATTCCTCAAAATCATAGGATATCCTATAAATATCTTGGATCTTATGAGAGATATTATATTTGAGATTGTAAGGAATATACATGCAGTGGTAGGTCAACTGTACATGTTACTTGCAATTTTGTCACTCTCTATAGATCTGAGTCTGCCTTTAATTGTAAGGCCACATGAGATGGATCAAAGATCCTATAAATGGACCATGAAAATATCCTTTGAATAGCACTGCTATGATATACAGGCACTGAGGTTGTCCTTAAAGTCTCTTTACAATTACAACACAACATCTGTCTGAAGTGAAAAGAGACTCTATGGAGACCCTGTATATCGAAGGCATATAGGATGAAACCTAGAGGACCCTACATGTACTAGTATGTATACACATATACATCCACTTACCTTCCCATATCCACACACTTTTGTCTCTACTACAAGTTGCTATCAAACTTCCATTACTGCACCATGTGACACATTTCACTTCATTCTCATGGCCCTCCAGGGTGGCAATGCACTCAAAGTCTCTGTCCTTGTTCTCCCAGATGCATGTTGTTGCATCAAAGCTGGCTGAGGCTAGGTATTTACCACAAGGAGACCAGCCCACAGACCTGACAGTTCTTTGGTGACCATCTTCCAACCTATACTTGCATACCCAGTTTTCACCTGCAAAAGCAAGCACTATAATCACGTAGTAGGGCATTTGGTGATCTCCCCAGCATTAGAACAATCAGGGATTGTACCATAGTGGACATTTCTAATGGAGCAAGGATTTGGGAAGTTAAAAAGGCTGTCATTAAAAGAAAGCTTCAGTTAAATATGAGGGTGGGGAGTATACAGATTCTGGGTGTGTGTAAATGTCAAAATTTAGGATAAAAAACAATAACATGGTTGGCTGACTCAATCCTTACATGTTTACAGCCAGTTCAGAAGAAGTGAGTACTGTAGCTCCCACAATTCTTTCATATTCAATCGTATTCGGGTATTCCCCATTATATGACGTACAATCATATTGCAGGATGTCATCACGTGAACAATCATGAGCACGTGCTCATTCAGTGCTGCGCATGCGTAAAGTAAAATTTGAAATTGTGGAAATGGTGTTTATTTCAGTTTAAAGCGGCTCTAAGGTCTGTGGAGAGAAAAATGGAGAAATTTTACCTTTTCTGAGCTATCGGGGTTGAAGTTTGGTCCAACATCTTCTTCCTTATTCCTATTTTATAAAAATGTATGCATATGGCAATATTCATCAACCAGTAGAACTGGCAAATCGTTTAGAATCTACAATTCCATACAAGGAGTCCCACTCATAGATTTTTCAAATTCTTTCCAAGTCGACGTCGAAACACCTAGCGGGTGAAATTGAAACTAATTTTTCTGGCTGCTCGAATCGATAAAATCTCTGATAGTGTGAGTCTTTTTATGAAATCTTTCTGATAGAAAACACTTAATTAATATTAGAAAGCATTAAATGTTGAATCCGAAGCGTAATCTGAAATAAAAGTGAAAAAACATTGCGCGGACGTCAGAGAAAAACTTCCGGTTTAATAAAAAATGGCGGACGTCGAAGGAGAAATTATGACGAAGAATTAGAGGATTTTCCTTTGCCATTATCGATCGTTATAAGGTATGTGCACAAATTCTAGTAGCATACACGGAAAATAGATACATTTTTAAAGGCAACAACATATTCAAAGCTTTCATTTTACGATAGGCCCAGGATCATTGGATACGACTCGGCAATCGATACTCCCACTTTAACATCATTTCAACATCACCATTTCAAAACTACGGTAATACTATTGAAGTTACTTGATACAAACAGCGAACATTGTGAGATCCATTTCAATGGCAAATGGGGCCTGTTTATAAAATTGGTCATCGAACGTGGCGAATACTACAGGTCATCTTTGAGAAATCTCCCCCCCCCCCCTGCAGCCAGTTATAATATTTTCGTCGTTACTATGTTATTGCTAGAATATTGGCCATTCTCCTTGTAGACATAGAAATTTGCATGCACAATCAGCACTGAACACCTAGTCCTTGATTAAAGATTATATCAAGTTGGAACCCTGGGAATCAATCTAAAATCCTTGAAATTTCTTTTATGATGGGCGATAATATGTGATAAAATTGAACATGTGGACTTCACCTTCTTTTCCCCATAATCGAACTGTCTTATCACCACCGCATGAGGCTAGCAATGTTCCCGATGGATTCCAAGATACAGACCATACTCTATCGGAATGTGCCTCTAGTTCTGCAATGCTCTGGAGGGAAATCATTACACCGTGAAGAATTGCTGACAGGTAGGTGGCGCTACTAAATTAGGCTACACCTTGAGTCGGGGCAATCTGCGCGAGATTCGGTTTTTACTTGGTTCGGTTTTTCATTAAAGGAAGTATTTCATTCCCATGATTCAAAGTGCTTTTCTGCCATCGGTTCGGTTTAAGTTTGTACAACACACGTCTACAAATCCGGGGCAGGTTGATATTACGTCATTACATTTGTTTTGAGTGTATACTTTTTGTTTTGACACTAATCAAAAAATTTCCCACAATATATGGTGCATTATGGGTAGGGACTGCTGTGAAATAATGAACGTAAGTGACATCTATCTCAAATTAAATGTTCTTATTAAGTTATTTATTGCGCATGCGTGATAATAATTTGAACCAATTAAATTGCTGGATTTAATGCGCATGCGCTAAAAACCGAACCAAAAAATGGAATCTCGCGCAGATTGCCTCTAGTGTACACCTTCTCTTTGAAGAGCAGTGACGACTTCTGAAAAATGGATAGGTAGGTTCATTACTAATTTAATACAATAATCCTTTGATCGCTACTTGGAAATGTCTTTTGTTTCTTGTGTTTTATATTTTTGTATGTTATCAGTCAAAATTTGTAAGGATACATCTTATCACTAAAGTGATATAAGAGTTTTAATTCAAATGATGAAAAAATTTGGGCGATAATTTGATGAAAATCGGGATCTTAGTGACAGCTCATGATTAATTTGTCTGGAAATCTTCCAAACAATGGTTACATTTTTAACTAGAATAATCATTCTTACATTTTTGTTAATTTTATATTTCATATTATGAGAAAGTAATTTTGTAGGTAGAACTACATATTGTCCAAGGGTAAGTTGATATACGTCCATATCGTCTGTCGATGATTAGAACTACTCTGGGGACTCATTTCTAATCTGACATGTCTTATGACCCTGACTAGGTCTAACCTCCATCGGCATTCTGCCTATTATACGCGTAAAGTTAATAGTTCCGCTATATCCCCGTGATCTTTGATGTATGATTACGAGAATATTGGAGACAGCTTTGGAAAAAGTCAGTTCAGATTTTAGCAACGAACAGACAAAATGCCGCATGAAAAAAATCATTTCAGAAATTGGTAAGAATAACCTCATTTTACTATTATAATGAACGTTTAATTCAAAAATGTTACGAGGAATCGTTTAATTATAGGTGTTTTTATATTATTGTCAAGTAGCATATTATTGTTGGGGAATATTGGTTTCAATCGATCCAAAAGTTGCGGCCTGTGAAAACATATCACGGATATTAAAGGGCCATTAAACTTAATCTGGCCCCAATTAAGATCAGATTAATGGATAAGCCGGATTAATTTTAACTTGTTGAACTAAGGGTACAGGTTGTACTTGTAAAATTATGGTCAGACTGGAGTCAATTCCTTGAATCAGTTTCTTTGAAAGTAATGCTCTATTTTCTTTCCAAGATCTGCAGTGAAATCCAAAAATGGTTACATTTTTTTTATTTTCTGATTTGCAACTTGGTAAGCCTATTTTGATTTGAATTCTTGTGATCTCCCATTGTAGTCAGAAGGGAACCCTACAGGTACATGGTACTGTATAAAAAATGCAAATCTTCAACTGGTTAGAAAACTCCAGATCTGAAGTTTTTGCTGAGCTACTGACCTTAAGCTTTAAAAATCCTGAAAGTTCTTGCACCAATAGAAAGATTTGTCATTTTTCTCAAAATTATTCTGGTTTTTGAAGTTATTGTATAAATTGACAAATTGACTTTCTTTTTCACTAATATCTACATCTATCTTAATCCTTAGTAAAGTCTTTATTGCATGGACATCACACTATATGAATTTATTTTTCCAGGAAATAATGTACTGTGGTCCTTTAATTGCTTATTTTTCAGGTTTCATTGACACACAATCTAATTGACTTGTAGTACAAATACTTTGAAGCATAACACCTTTATGTTGGCAACTTGCTTAAAAGTTGGCTATTTTTAAAATCAGGTGGTCATTTATATATGCATCATTTTATAGTTTTTGTGACAAAAGTTAAAGAATGACTTCAATATTTTATTTGCAAGAACTTGGAGGCATGAGACAAAGTCAAATATATAGTCTTAGTTTGGTCACTAAGTCAGCCAATTTGAAAAATTGAGGCCATTTTATATTTTACATTATAGATTTCTTTGTTATAACTCAACTAGAAAAGTAATGATTTTGTTGATAATTTTTATATGTAAACATGTACATGAGTGGCACTTTATCTTTTGGCAATACATCTACTGTATTGTAGCCATTTTGAGACAAGATTTCTAGAAATTTTGTGTGGCATTCATTAGATGTTGATGGGATTTGCTATACCTTGGTATAATTGCTTTTACCTAGTTTGAATATTAAATAAATCATAGGAAAATGGAAATAAATGTTTTTAATATGTACCTCCTACATTTTAGATCAGTATTTTGAAGCTGACAAGGCTTTTGACCTAAATAACAAACTAATGTGTTTACTCTAAATCGGTTATCATTCAGTATATCAATAGCCTATCCTCAACATATTGATAAATTTTCAGCTTGACATTGTTTTGTTAATTTTCAACTTACTGTGGTGTAATATTAATATATCTTGTGAAAGTTGGCCAAAATTATTTCATGATGACCTACTTAGTGGGGTAATTAAATCTAATCAAAATTGGCAACATTGAGTCACATTATTTTGTAATATAAAAGGGAGACATTTAAAATGTGATAAAGCACTAAAAACAAGTCATGGTCCAATTTCAAAGGCAATAATGATTAAATTTGGGGTTTGCATGTTGCATTGTCAGTAGCACATTTATATACATGTTTCTATGTAACATAATTTCCTACAGAGGGTTGAGTTTCACTTTGTTATCTTTAAGTGCTCTAAATACATATCCAGTGTGAACCTTTACCAACAGTTACACACAGATTTATGATTGATGTTAAGTATTCAATTGTTTATATGTACATAAATGACGAGAGTAAATATTGATATAGTATAAATCTGGCATTGAATAAATCCAACCCATTGAAAACATCCATCATCTTGAAGTTACATGAATCAATATCAAGTTTTTTATGTCTTGTTTTAGCTTTAATGTAGAAGTGAACAAACATTGGAACACGGCATATTATTTGAAACCTTCTAACTCAGTTGCAAAGAAGAGATTATGTGAATCAGAATTATTGTTAAATATTCATCTTTTTATGATGCCACATGATACCATTATTATGGTACAAATAGAATATTGTATCCTACTTTACCATTTGAGTATAGTACTATCAGGTCGCAGGCCCATAGCCAGGGGGGTTAGCCCCTAGCCAAAAAATCTTTCAAAATCATGCACTTTTCACGATTCTGAGCGCTTTTCAACTGATTTTGGGCCAAAGTTGTCAAATGTGAATCTCCCTGGAATTTTTTGAAAAGTGAAACCCCCTTTGACAAAAGGTGGCTCCGAGCCTGTGTCCAATGGTGCTGTATATTGTACAGCATTGTGTTCTGGTACAGTATGGTGCAGTTTGAGTCTGCAGTACCATACCATACCATACCATATATTTCATGGTGCCGTATGATATTGAAGCTGAAACAATAAAATACTGCTCTGGAGCGGATTGGCTGTGTTCTGTTAATATATTTTCACAATCAATGCAGACCAGACATAAATGAGAATGTGTACTGACAGATTTGACAATTAGGCCACTCAGAATTAAACTCTATGTTTGTTGTCCTGTTGAAGGGCCAATCTTAAGATGTGGAGGTTAAACATAGATTTAACTTTTAAAAGCCTTACGTTTACCTGATTGGCATTCAGTTGAAATTCTAATTACGCTCAGTTCAGTTGGAATTCCCAGTTGGAAAATCTGGAATATTTCAGAGAATCAGAGAATTTATAATTTTATACAGTTGAAGAAAAATCCTGACAAACACTTAAGGTGTAGTATATGATGAGAATACACACATCTAGGGCTTTAATGATCCATCTCTTTGTTTCAGTGTTACATAAGGATCACCATGACGACCCTTTACAAGTACTTGGCCAATGAGCTGACACGGGGCTATGTCTTGGAGAATGATGAGGCCAAATACACGGAGAAGCGAGAACGTGTCTACACATTTGTTAAGATTCCAAGAGAAGTGGAGAAGGTAATAATTTAGAATAACATGACTAGTAACCCTGCAGAGTGAATATAATCAAACTATTATGATTAATTACTTTGAACTCATGAAAAATAAGTATATGTTACAAATTTGATCTTTGTCATTCTTATCAGTGTGCCTTTAAAATGGATTAATCTGTCATGACTGGCAGTGTATGGAATGTGCTATTAGCAAATAAGGAACCTTATTAGATTATCCTATTTATTTAGAAAGATAACCAGAGTGTACAGTTGAAGGTTATGATGAACTGTGGTCTCGTAGAAGAGAGTTAAGTCTGTATATTGCTATATGGACAGCTGTTTAATTAATGTATAATTCAACGCTATCATTATTCATTTAAGCCCACGGCTCAATGAATATATTGTGGATGATCTTAAGAGAACATGTCTTGTATCAAGACTTGGAATGAGGGTGGTAGCCCAAGTTCAAAGGCTATGATACAAGACATGAGTGCATTAAATCACCCACAATGCATTGAGTCTTGTGCTTGAATTCTTTTCACACATTGCAAAAGATTTTGTAAGGTATCACTAAACAAATAAATTCAACCAGGAACGTTTTGCAAGGTTTGTCCTTTTAACATTTTGACCCGATTTTGTTTTTTCATAATTTTGATCTTTCTCATTTAATAATAATCAGGAAATTTTTATTCAATGTTGAATCTGGTTCACTGGAAATAATACACCATTATTGAATAACAGGTTCATGTGATTTTATTAAGGATTCACAGAATAAGATTTTTATTCCTTGAAAAAGATGATATTTTCTGTTTTCTGTAAAGTGTTTGTTTATGCAAATACCTTTTATCAATTACCAGGACTGTACCTATTGAGAATTTTTACCTCAAATTTGTGTTTATTTCCTCACAAAATCTAACAATTCGTTGATGAACCACAGATATGGTATGTCAAAATATTTTTTCCTAAAATTTGAACCCTAGGTCTGGGTCTGGTGAGATCATCATCCATGCATGTTTTGCTTTTTTTTAGTTCATGTTCTATGGGTTCTTCCAATGTGTGGACTCCTTCCTGTTCATATTTACATTCCTGCCACTCAGATTCCTCCTGGCTTTGCTCAAGATACTCACACATCCTTGCGGTGTCGTCATAAAAGGGTAGGTACATCATAATAAGGTAGGTACTTCGTATCTTTGTCAAAAAGGAATTTTATATGTAATGTTGCCTTTTTACCCCACCCTTTACTCTAGGCTCTCTAGACTACTCTCATACACCTGTGTATGCAGGTTAAGTGATATCCGTGTTCATGTATGTATAAATGTACTTGTGAAAGAACTGTAGCCAGGGGGGTGTGATTGGTGCGATCCCACCACAAAAAAGAAAAGCAATTTTGTAAAATTTGTTGAGAAAGCATTAACAAATTATAGTTTGTAATGCTTACAATATGAATTTAAAAAAAATCCGGGGTCAACCTCGTAGCCCCCTTTTTTGGGGCTTGCTTCTCTCACACAGATGCAAACTCCAAAAATTGCACCCCGCTTGACAATTGCAGGCTACGCCCCTGATTAATTAATCAGTTAATTTCTAAATTATTGTTTGATTTCTGTTAAAGATAAAATTGAATTGAATTCTGTTGCAGGTCACGGCGAGTTCTGGAGCCGGCTCAAATTATAGACATCCTGAAGGTTTTAATAATATTATGTGTGACTACAGTATTAACGTATGTGGACCTCTCTATGATGTATCACATCATACGGGGACAGGCTGTCATCAAGCTATACATATTCTACAACATGCTTGAGGTATGTATTTGAATGAGGGTGTGTAATAACTGCATAAGGACTTTTGGCATGATGGTGAGATTAATGTTTTAATTAATTGCCATTTGGATTATTTTCTACATGCTAAAAAAATAAGATGGCCCTCAGAGTACCTGGTTCCAGACCTCTGGAATGGTGCCAGATTTGAATGGGAAAATAGAACATAATGTACATAATCGTAAATCTTTGCATGTTAAGTTGATAAAATATAAACACAGTTTTGTTCGCACTTTATGATGTCCCATTGACTCCCATAAATTGCTTATCTCATCACTTTTAAAATGACTCTTCAATATATTTGACTTGAATTGTTTCCTGCTTTTGAAGTTTAGTCTGACCCAATCTATTTATCCAAACAATATGTATGTACATGTATGCATATTTTTATAGTCTGCATTTTTTTTTGTGGATGGTGTTCGGCATTTGGTGTTCAGTGTTCTGTAGTCAGCTGCTGTAACAAATGGCAGGTGGTGACATTTTACATGTTAATCATGCCTTGTTTTGTCCCCTGAACTTAGAAAATCTACATTTTATCATTTATTCATTGCTTTCAATAAATATATGCTACATGTACATTCAAGCCTGCAGCAGATGTCTATAAAAAAATTGACCTCATTTGTAAAAAAATAGAGAATATTTTAGAAACAAAACAATAAGGCTAATACAATCACCTAATACAATCACCTAAAATAAATAAAATAAATTTGAGTAAATTGTTTGTCTGTAATAGCATTAGTAGGAAGATTATATGTTAGTACGGAATTAATTATTTTGGTGCCCCTACTTCCTTTAAACGTTGACATCTTTAGGGAATATGTATAAACCTTTCATAAATCAAACTTGCACAATTAAATGCACATGTATACAATCACCCAATACAATCACCTAATCAAGAGCTTGATATTTATGATTTAATAAATTTGATTAAATTGTTTGTCTGTAATAGCATTAGTAGGAAGATTATATGTTAGTACACAATTTATTATTTTGGTGCCCCTGCTTCCATTTAATGTTGACATCTTTAGGGAGTGATACAGCAATGTGTATAAACCTTTCATAAGAGGCTAATGATTATACTGTTTATATTTTTCAAGGTTGCTGATCGACTGTTTTCTTCATTTGGCCAAGACATTTTGGATGCTTTGTTCTGGACAGCTACGGAACCACGAAATCGCAGGCGAGAACATGTCGGTGTTTTACCCCATCTATTACTAGGGATGGTCTATGTCTGTATCCTTTATCAAACATTGCATATATCTTTATTTTTGATAAGCTACATGCTTCATTATGAGACCACTAAGAAAAGAACATACTGTTCTACGTGACTGGTGTTGATGGTCAGCCATGGGCATAGCGCTATTATTATTATTATTAGCTCACATGGTGAGCTTTTGCAATCACTCACTTGTCCGTCTGTCTGTCTGTCCGTCCGTCTGTCCGTCTGTCCGTCAACAATAGTGGCACGTTTTGAAACCTCTGTCGATAGGATTCCTGTTTTAAGTTATTTCTGTTCAACATCAATACAGAAAACTCCCCTATGACTCCTGGTTCAAAAGCTCGCCTATTTTCAAAATGGCCGTCACTTTTGTCTCGCGAAATTCACTTTTGACCCATTTGTTTTAAAACCTCTGTCGATAGGATTCCTGTTTTAAGTTATTTCTGTTCAACATCAATGCAGAAAACTCCCCTATGACTCCTGGTTCAAAAGCTCGCCTATTTTCAAAATGACCGTCACTTTTGTCTCACGAAATTCACTTTTGACCCATTTCCTAGCTTTACAAATAATTTCAGGTGTCCTACACTGTAAAAATCCATGTCAATGTAAAGGGTAGATATATGTTATAATATTGTTACAAAAAATCAGCGAAAAATTGTATCCATTTTTTATTTTTTATCTTCAGCCATTTTAGTTAACATTGATTTGTCTATCTGACTCGCGAAATCCACTTTCCGTCAATAACAGTGGCACGTTTTAAAACCTCTGTCGATAGGATTCCTGTTTTAAGTTATTTCTGTTCAACATCAATACAGAAAACTCCCCTATGACTCCTGGTTCAAAAGCTCGCCTATTTTCAAAATGGCCGCCATTTTTGTCTTGCAAAATTCACTTTTGACCCATTTCCTAGCTTTAAAAATAATTTCAAGTGTCCTACATTGTAAAAATCCATGTCAATGTAAAGAGTAGATGTATGAAATAATTTTGTTACTAAAAATCAGCGAAAAATTATATCCATTTTTTTTATTTTCAGCTATTTTAGTTAACATTGATTTGTTCATCTGTCTCGCAAAATCCACTTTTGGACCATTTACCTTAAACCCTCTGTCGATAGGATTTCCGTTTTAAGTTAATTTTGTTCAACATCAATACAAAAAACTCTCCTATGACTCTTGGTTCAAAAGCTCGCCTATTTTCAAAAAAATAGTCGCCATTCTTGTTCCGCGAAATTCACTTTTTGCCCATTTCCTAGCTTTACAAATAATTCCAGCTGTCCTGCATTGTAAAAAGCCGTGTCACTGTAAAGAGTAGTTGTATGAAATAATTTTGTTACAAAAAATCGGCAAAATATTATATCTGTTTTTTTATTTTCAGCCATTTTAGTTAACATTGATTTGTCCATCTGTCTCGCGAAATCCTCTTTTGAACCATTTGCTTAAAACCTCTGTCGATAGGATTCCAGTTTCACATTATTTTTGTTCAACATCAATACAAAAAAACTCCTCTATGACTCCTGGTACAAAAGCTTGCCTGATTTCAAAATGGTCGCCATTTTTGTCTCGCGAAATTCAATTTTGGCCTATTTCCTAGCTTTACAAATAATTTCAGGTGTCTTGCATTGCAAAAAGCCATGTTACTGTAAAGAGTAGTTGTATGAAATAATTTTGTTCCAAATAATTGGCAAAAAATTATATCCGTTTTTTTCTCAGCCATTTTACTTAACATCGATTTGTCCATGTGTCTCTCAGTCAGTCCAAAATAGTGGCAAGTGGCTTGAAATAATTTTGTCAGCAAAAAATTATATCCGGTTTTTTCTGTCACCATGTGAGCCCAGTACCCACGGTACTAATTTTTAGTAGTATGACACCATGGGAATACGAGTTGAGCAAAGCGAAAAATGAGCGTTCAGGGGGGTTTGGGGGGAAAATTTTGAAGTTTGGTTGTACTTGGAGTGTATTTGCAACCATTTTTGGTACGCCTGTGGTCTATGTCAGCATCTGTAACTAATTGTTACACTTTTGTAACCTTTGCAATAACTTACCAGGTGGTGACATTTTGTCATATCTTGTCTAGATATACAGCCTAAGTCTAACCATAGAAAGGCTAATAAAATCCTTGTTCAGTACATATTTCATCAAGCCCAGGGGTAGAAATGGCATTGCATGATGAGTATGGACATGTTATTTAATCCTTAACCCGTACTGCAGTTTTACATGGAATACTGGTGCTATTTCAAGCCACTACTCTGAATGTTGCCTTTAACTCTCACAATAAAGCGTTGCTCACAATTATGATGTCAAATAATGTAAGATTCATCTTTTTAACTAAGGTCAAAGTGAAATGGATGCATCATTTTGAAAACGTGCATTTGAGAATATTGTGGCAACCCTGGATAGAGGAACTGGGAGCCAACTTGGAGACGTTCAGAATTCAGATGTCATTTTGGGTCACATCCAGTTGTCCTTAAGTTACTAAAATGGATACACAGAAAAATACTTATAAAAATCTGTATAGTGACACACATGCCAGAGAAGCTCACAGGATTAACCTATAACCTATTTGATTAACCTGTTCTAATTTGGCAAAGCTAGATCAAAAAGTCATCTCCAATTCAAAGTGTAGATGAAGCTCACTTTTAAGACCTATTGAGAAGGGTAGCCTGCAGATATATTCATAGAGGCATTGATAGATAAGGCTCCATTGCGCTCATCTAAATCAATAGCGCTACAATAACTTTTCAATAAATAATGTCGTTTTCTATTTCAGTTTGTTGAATTGAAAGGAAGTGTGTTTAAAAAGTTTGAGAAGAATAATTTATTTCAAATGTCATGCAGTGATGTCAGAGAGAGGTTCCACATGTACATGCTGATGTTTATTGTTCTTGTACGCAACATGACTGAGTTCTCATGGAAGATGGGTGAGTTCTGATGAGTGATGGGAGAATGGGGGGGGGGGGTAGAAAGAGGGTGGGGCTAGGGGTAAAGAGAGGTCCCACATCTGGTTGATGTTTGTTCCACTTGTACATAATATGCCCTCTTGTGGAAGAAAGGTAATTTATGATGAGTTGAGTTGACAACATTTGTAAATATTGAGAAAGTTGTACTGAAATACATCTAAGTTCCCATACTCTAAAGATACTAGTATCAAAGTGCTATAATAGTGCTGATGAATATCCCACATGATGTGGCTACATATATTACAAACAATCTATTTGCCTAATAGCATTAACATTATTTTTATATTACAGATCATCTGATGGAACTCCTCCCTGATGTTGCAGCTGTGCTCTTAGCAGAGTTCCTAGTGGACTGGGTGAAACACGCATTCATCACAAAGTTCAATGAAATCTCAACAGAAGTATGAAACATTTTTAAAACAATAGATCGGAAATATGTGCATTCAGGAAAAAACATAGCATATGTAAATCATGTATGTAAATCATACAATCAAAAATATCCCCATGGTTTGAATTCCCACCAACTTTGGACAAGCATGCATATAAAACTTTTTACTGCACTTTTATTTTGTGTCTTTACCCTCACAAATATATTGTATTTACCCTCACAAATATATTGTATTTACCCTCACAAATATATTGTATTTATATTCTTAGGTGTACAGAGATTACACAGTTAGTTTGGCATATGACCTTCTTCAAAGTAGACAGAAAAATGTAAGTTGACTTTGAGTTTGAAATAAAATAATGAGTTATATGTCAGCATGACCTTGTAATAATAGTGTAGCTGTTCTATGCAATCAAATTGCATAAAAAGCATATAAAAATGACTTTAAACCTGTTTTTATACACGTTCATTACAGTGCGCATACTTTATTATCTTTTATTGATATTATATTATCAAAAAGCAAATTCAAGATAACTTTCACAAAAGTCAGCTTAAAAAGTCCAATTCAATACAAATTATTGTAAATGAAACAAATCTCACATTTCATATATTTTGAAATCAATATGGTAGTCAAAGGCGAACATGTTGTCATTTCAGGCCTATTCTGACCATGCTGACCTTGTGTCTCGACGCATGGGCTTCATCCCCCTCCCACTCGCCTGTTTGTTGGTGCGAATTGTTATACAGCTCTGGAACATCTCCGGTTACTTCTGCATCATCATCATTATCCTCTTTTATTTATGGTAGGTACAAAATTATTAAATCATATTTTCAGACTGAAAATATATTTTCTAAAATAATTTTTATGGTTCCCAACTTTTTTATGGACAGTGTTCAGCAGTTGGTGGTTGGTGTTTGGCATTCGATGGTTGGTAGTTAGCATTCAGTGTCTGTGGGCCTTTTAAGTAAATGATGTAAATGATGTGACTCCATGGCTGTCTCCAGTTTGCATCTGTATTAAATGGTTACACTTTAGTACTTGCAACCAGATGGTGACATTTTGTCATGTTAATCAATTGTATGAATGAAATTGTTCGGCTTTACATAACATTCTACACATTTGCTGTACAAAATAAAACTTTTTACCTTTCAGTTTATGTACGTCAAAAATTATGATTGGGATTTTCCTTATGGCCAGAGCTATAACTCTTGTTGATAGCAAGAAGAAAGATGATTTGCTGAAAAGCCCCGTGAAACAAGCCACTGCACCAGTTCCTGGGCCATTAGTAACAGAAACAAGAAGATCAAGCAATGAGAGTATATCATTTAGCGAGCCTCTAAGGCCCAAGCCTAGTCTTAAGAAAAGTAAATCTATAAGTGATGTTATGGATCTGGAAACTGAAAACACTGAAATCAGAAGAAGGTTAACTCAGAATGTGACCTTTTGTGAGCTGGAAAGTAAATTCCATAAAGATTCTCTTTCAAATGATATAGACCCTGGGTCACCCGGTATAGGGGATCTTGAAAGGGCCCCTTCTATGCTTTCTAAACCTATGCTGTCTAACAGTTCTGTGAGTCTCAATAGCATTGGATTAAATGAAGAGTTTTTGAATGATTGTGGTGCTAATGATGTGACAGATACGTCCATAGTTAAAGATGATTCATCCATCAAATTTAACAGTAGTTTGGATAGTGAAGTTGAATCTATACAAAGAACATTACCAGAGGATCCCATGTATATCTATAAGAAAAAATATCCAGAAAAACCGCTGTCAGATGTTGAACGCTACACACTGTGTAGCAATAGGATAGTTTGAAAGATCTATCTAAAATAATTCAGCATTATTACAAAGCGTTCTATAATGAGAATCATGAAAGAGGCTATAGCATCATATTTTTCTTGATAATTGCATTCTTATTTTATTCACCTTTACCTGAGACGGGACCTGAGATATGATACAATTGACAGAATTCTCTTAAAGGTTATCCATAGCCATTAGCCTTGATTGTGTCCATTATTATTAGGGTAATGACACAATTTGTTAAGATAGTAAAGTAGAATGACTTCAGGCCCGCGGCTAACCCCTGAGCCCCCTCCCATGACCAAAAATTCTTTCAAAATCATGATATAACTTGTTCAATGTTAACCCCAAGTGAACTCCTAGGCAAAACTGTCTACGGGCCTGGACTTGTCTGACTTTGTCTTGGAGACCACTTAAATGTATAGTATTGTAAACGAGCTGGGCCAAAAGTTGTCTTTTGGCTTACTTTAATTAACATATCAATATTTCCAGAATGTTATTTTATTCATGTTAGAATGATTGGTGCCATTTAATGAAGAAAGGGAAAATAAAAAATCTCAGTGGATCGCTGGAAGAGCAAGTGAACATGTTAAATGATGAAACAATTAAAATGACTTAGAAATGATATGTACAACTGCCTACCATCCATCAGTTATAGAGTTTAGGAATGGTTAGTATTAAATGTATTCCAGTATCCACATATACACATTAATACTGCTGGCAATAGTTAGGCATTGAAGGAGTATACAAACGATATATATTAAGTACTGTAGATTTGGTTAATTTGATTTGACGATATGCCATTTTTGGCTTATTGGCAGCTTTTTGGTGGTCACTAGGGCTGGGACATTGCAATGTATTTTATTTATCACTTTTCGACCACTGTTGATGACCACATTTTTTCTTTCAAAATCTTCCTGTGCATTTTGGACATGAATGGACGCTGCTATATTTTTAAGTTTTTCTTATTTAGTTTTTCCATCAGTATTGACTAGAGATAAGCCTGTCTGGGGTTTATTAATACCAAGGATGGAATTCCCAATTTGGCGAAAGATAGTTAATTGACAGTTTTTTCTATTTTGCCAAAATAAAGCAGGCATCAACTTAACCCAATCTACAGTGCATGTAACTTAAACATGTAGCATAAATAATATATATCATAATTGTAGGAAGGTACCAGATTTTCTCATAAAAAAGGCCCTTGGTATTTAAATGAAAGTATGGCCTGATTCTTGGTATGTTTGTCCTTATGAAATATGTTCTTTAAAATCAGTTAATAATATTATACTCCCGTTGGGCATTTATTTGAGAAGTTATATGATCCTTTATGTGTTGTCTGTCCAACCCTCGTTGGAACAAAATGACATATATACACAATATACTTAGTTCTCTCAATATTGTAGTGACACAAGGAGAAGTATCTAAAAATGTATCCCCCCAAAATAGATTTTAAAATATAGCCCTAGCTTTTATTTTATTTTTAAGATACTTCTTTTAAATCAACCAAACTTTCCTTTTATATTTATGATATTGAGAGAACTTAGTAATTGTATTATTGTGTTATATACACTTAATATCATAGTAATCATGGTATAATGCCATATATAGCCATATTAACTCATATTAAAAGTTTATACCGGTAATTCAATTATTCATTTATGATTGTGATTTAAGAAAGGTAAAATGATCAAATCATGTAGTGTCCTGCAAATTCTAGGTTTCCTGTAATGTCTGTCAATGGTTGCAATATATGACAAGTATTTCCTTTTGGTTTAGAACCAGACCTCATTTACTTTTTTGATGCAGACAGATAATTAGTCAACTGACGCATCATTTCACATAAACTAATATTTAGAAATGCAACTCCTACTTTTCATCCTCCCAACACAGGCCTCTAGAACTCAATCCTCCTTCTTCTGGAGAATGAAGGAATGTTTTGGATGATGTCTGGAACCCTGCATTCAGAGGATGCTACTTCTTGCCATCTTCCAATAAATATCTCACCCTTTTTCTCTTTATAACTTTGACTGCTTCACATTCTGATCATGTCAAGTTGTGTATTAACCATGTATTTGAAGAGATCAAACTGAATAAGGCTGCAGCTTTACTGTTTTCAGTTTTGCACCACATAAACATACATACAAAGTCACGTACTTATATTTCAAGGCAGCAGGTGTAACTTGTACAATTAAATGCACATGTAATCTTTCTTAATCACTGTGAGTATAAGTCTGAGAGAAAAGGACCATAAATGGAATTGCAAGTGATTTTAGACAGTCATTTCTTTAGGCATAAGCAACAATGAAACAATTGTTTTCCTCCAAGTAAATCTCAGGGATAGTAAAAATATTTGTCTGACTCTCTTATAATCCATGGATTAAGACCCCATTGTGATATATTTTTCAATGTTTAACTTATTTTCTAAATAAAATTATTATCTTATTTCTTTTTATAGCATCAATAGATTGTACAACATCTTCCAAAGATGAATGGTAATTGAATGTCTTATTAGGAAAAATGTGGTAATTCAACCTCACCACATAAAGTAAGATCATTATTTTTTTTAAATAAGGGTAAGTCCCAACCAACATTTTGAAAAAGTTAAGAGTCTAATCCATGAATTGTCGGATTGATAATTATTTTATCCCAGGGGACCACACTTGGTGGAAAATATATATTGATTTGAAAATTGAATTATGTATATGTAAGAGCTTTAACTGAGTAGTGTTATGTTTTGTGAAACTTATATTGTAAAGAATTTCTTTTATCAATAATTGACATTCTCCAAACGCAGGGCTCCATACATCATCCATGATCCACTACGCATTCTGGAGGTCTGTGTTTGGAGGATGCTAAATGATGAAATAACATGGTGCAACATTCTTGTTTAATATGATATTGTAAAGTTGAAGTGAATGAATTAAATATATTGAGAGTATATATTGTAGGATTGACTTTTTTGTTATTCATGAATGGGGGTTATTATTACATTTCTTAAAACATACTTTTTAGAAGTTCTTCATTGTATTCAAAAGTGACAATATTACTATGGGAAGTAATAATAAAATGGAATTGTTGTGTTATGCAATAAGTTATATAGTAGTTAGTCGAAGAATTTTAATTTTTTATCAGGTTTAAAAACGAACCACAATTTGCCACACCAACTTTTACAGTACAGTAGAACCTGTAGATCTGAACATCTGGCTAATCTGAACACCTCCCAATCTGAACACTTTTTTTCGGTCCCATTGACTCCCATGTTAAAAAAACATTGAAATGTGAACACCTACCAATTTGAAGTGAACAGTCATATTTGAAAAATTCACCTGTCTAATCTGAACACTTTTCATAAAATTTCTGATGTTTCATACAAAATTGCTCAAATATTGTCATGATATCAAAACTCTTGAAAAAATCTTGAATGGTCTCAATTATAACGGGGCTTTCCAGCATGACTAGATTCATTTGAATCGAATTTTCAAATTTCTGGAATGCCAAAAGAACTATAAATATTTACCGAGAATGTGTTCACATTTCTTCAGAATCTGGAATATTGCAAATGCAAAAACCTTGAAATGTGAACACCTCCTAATCTCAGCGCTTTTAGTCGGTTCTTATGGCGTTAGGATTAGACAGGATTTACTTTACTTCTTAATAGGTTTATCTTATTTTATCTTTATTTTATTATTTGCCCGATTGCTCATATATTTGCATGGAACATTTGACTCACTGTAGTTTCCAAGTAAGAAAGTTTGAGTAAAAATAAAAGAATTCATGTGTCACATTTTTTGTATACTGCCGGATTCTTAAGCACATTTGCATTAAAATGTCATTAAACTTTCTTTGTGCACTGAAAACATTAAAGTGCAAATTTTAGTTATGAACCAACTTGTACACTACTCTAAATGTGAGGTCCTTTAAGATAGTGTTTAAAAATGCAAATCAATTGTTTTAAAACAAAATTTATTGATATTTTTGGGGAAAAAATGTTACATTTAACAAATAACATATTGGCTAGGGAAATATAAACCTCCCTTATAAAAACAAGATCATGACTTTCAACCCTTAATGAAACTTAAACTTGATGTGTAAAATAATTGAATGTAACTATGTGACGAGTGTTATAACTTCCTTGGAGCATGGGCAAAGTCCTTTTCCCATTCTTGTTTGTTTCTATCGAAATCCTCCAGGTCTTTCAAGCTATGTGGTTTTCCTTTATTTTCGCCTTCCATTTCTGAGCCCTGGCCTATTCTCTGGCCTTGGGGATCAATGGCAAAGTTATAGTCTTGTTTACTGTTAAGGGCCTGCTCTATCACACTATCAAGATTTTCTTTTGTGATAAATGTCTTGGAGGCTTCCTGAAAGAATGAAAAAATACTTATAAGGTAAATGCTGGATATTTCACATAAGGTTTCATTTGTTAGTAAAAGTCCTGCAGATTCCGTGGAGACAATCACAAGGAAAATGGATGCTATGTCTGTATATATGCTATGACACCCATATTAAAAAAACTTTAAATATGAACACTTCTCAATTTGAACAGTGAATAGTGATATTTGAAAAATTAACCTGTCTAATCTGAACACTAATCATAAAATATCAGATGTTTTCTACAAAAATCATTCAAATATTTTCAATTTGTCACTATCTAAAGGAAGGGGAGCGTCAGTATGTTTTAAAGATTTATTGTGCAAATAAAGGAAAATTGTGATCTGAAATTATCATAGAAACTATGATACAATCTATGTTTGAATGGTGATCAATGATTTTGGAGCCACAGCCCCTGGATTGCGACTTGTACACGCTAAACCAGTAAAAATGGAGCATCATTCCGTCGTGCTCCCCTAGTCTTTCCAGAAAATGAATGAATCTTATAAATAATAAAATATTGTGAATTTGGTAAAAAAGTGATTTCCCTGTATCCATTGTTCAGATGCTGAATGAAAATTGACCAGTTGCCCAAGATTTAGTAGGAACAGTGGCAATATTTTAGATTTTCACTCTTATATCTAAAATAATATAATGAGCACAGCCAGGGCCCCTCACACAAAAAACAAAAAAGCAATTATAGTTTGAAATGCTTAGCATGTACCATATAAAATGTAATTTTTAAAAAATTTCTGGGGATGCAAACCATAATGCAAACTATAATTGCTTTTTTATTTTTTTGTGTAAAATTGAAAATATCAAATATTGCCACTGTTCAAACTAAATCTCGGGCAACTGGTCATCTTTAACCCGATTAATCGCACACCCCCTTGACATTTGCTGGCTACGTCCCTGAATATAGTGATAATTAATACCATTTCTCTCTGAACAATCTCCTCAGCTCGCTGCTGTCGCTTTAGCCTCTTTTTCTCCTCATTATAAAGATACAGCAATTTTTTTCTTTCTTCCTTTAATCTCCTTTGTTCCTCAAATGCTTTTCTAAAACAACATAAAGCAACATAAGAGTTTGATAGAAATGACAACTTATAGTAAGATGTACATTGATAATGAGAACAAGGACTTTTGAAAGTACTATAGAGGTATGAATGTTCTGCATTTAATTATTGTTATATTGTACATGTAGTAAGAACACAAAACAACATATAATAATGATGCTTCTTCCCAACAAACATACAACTAATATGTGTGATGTGTATTGGACCAATCGTATGATTACTATCAATGCAATATTTTTCCGTAAAATATTGTACTGTGGTCCTTTGATTGTTTATCTTTTAGGTTTAATTAATACACAAGGCAATCAACTTGCACTATACATTCTGAAAACTATAACATGTACTCGTACATGGCTATTACCTTTCAAGTGCTATTGCTTGATTCCATTTGTCATTTATCTCCAGGTTTTCAATATGTTCTCTATCCTCTGTAGCAATATCTTCATCAGATTTGCCTGCAGTCATAGTCTCCATAAATACCTGGTTATCCTTGTAGAATTTAGACCTATAATAATATCACATAACACTATATAGGACTGACCTCAAACATACATATACAGAGGTTTCATAATTCATTAGCAGCAGGTAACAGGCGATTTTCACCAGTTGTTTTCACAAAATCACCTGTTGTTTTTAGAGATTTTCAACTTTTAATGTTAAATTCATGATTTCCATTCATTTTGCCAGCAGTTTTCATTTATTTAGCATGTTGTGGGAAATTCTAGTGAAACCACTGCATAATGCATATATGTATTGGTTTCTCTCCTGGACTATAATGATACCCCAATATATTTTCAATTGTTTTGTACTGCAATGTTTTCAATCAGTTGGAATTGCTTGTTTTGTTTTGTTCTGCAAGGTTTTTAATCAATTGGAATTGCTTGTTTTGTTTTGTACTGCAATGTTTTCAATCAGTTGCAATGTTTTCAATCAGTTGGAATTGCTTGTTTTGTTTTGTACTGCAAGGTTTTCAATCAGTTGGAATTGAACCATTTGTTTTAGCTTAGATTGTCCCATCTCATTTTACATAAGTGCATTTAAAGTCCATGCTTCTTGCTCAAGCAAATTGTTGATTCACCAGAGAAAAAAATTGTCAGTTCCTTGAAAAAGATTTACATAATGAATTGAAATATTGCAACTAAATCATTGGGTTTTATGAAAATATACTTTTTGAAACAGAGTTTAAACTTTTTGTGTATATTATTGCTGAAAATAATCAACAGAACAACCATAACCGTCAAAATTGAACACAATTGATTCTTTGGTCATGGAGGGGAATCCCTATCAAGTGACACAAGTGCCCACATGTGCCTTGAACCAGGCAGCCAACCAGGTTCAATTCAACAACCAATCAGAGGGATTTCACAGGTGCATTCAAACTTCAGATTTCATTAATTTCCTTGAAAGTAATTCGAACTGTCAGAACAATCCCAAAATTTGCATTGGAAGTGGGGGATTTGGCACTTCCTCACTGGAAAATAGATCGGTGAATATGTAGTAAAAGTCAATGCAAAAAGTCCGTCTTGATTATATACCTCTCTGTCTTTGTTTTGTCAGAAATGCTGTCAAACTCTTAAGAGGTCCCATTTAAACGATATCAGCTAGGTTTTTCAAGTAGCCTTCTCTGAGTTACGCTGTCAAATTCCTGTGAAACTCCAAATAAAAATATGTCATATACTATTTTTTTCAAGGCCTGTCTGCGTCGCTAACATGCTAAATATAAGAGTTAGCTGACGTTTGGGAGTCTGACTTACCTTCTAAAGGTTAGAACCCGAATCTTAATGAAACCATATCACCTTTGTTGCGTCGATGATGATGCATCAACATAGCATTTGATAGAAATTAGCGTAAATGCTTTTCCGACTTTTTCATTTTTCATCAATGTTGACTTCCGGGAAGGCGTTGTAGTTATCACGAAATAACGCATTGACCCTTGAACTTTACTTTGTTGACGTGTCAACCAAGCATGTCTGGTGTGAAAATTAAAAGAATATTAAGCAATGTTCTACATCCGCCAAGCTAAGTGAAGTAGTCAATATTAAAAATTACCAATTTCAAGTGAAGTACGCAACGAACGAAACTGCGTGATCTACACTCCCACTATTGGTCTGAATGAAATGCTACGTAGAAATATGAGCCGTCTGCTGTATTAGTCGATTAATAGAGAAAGACCTGTTGGTGATGCTTTATAATTTAGACCAAAACATTGAAGAACAAACGAACCTGTAAATCGTGAAAACAACGAACAAATATTCGGTTTTCACATATGTTCGGTAATTTTTCGTATTGAAACTTCCGGAACTTACAAGGAAATCATTCATTTTCTCGATCCATGATTTACCTCTTGGATGTTGTGGCAAATGCTCCATGGTTGACAGAACAAAGGTGATATGGTTTCATTAAGATTCGGGTTCTAACCTTTAGAAGGTAAGTCAGACTCCCAAACGTCGGCATGAACTTGGTGTAAGACCACACGAAATTTAGTGTATTATATGTATAATATAATATAATATAAAAGTATATATTATATATATAGTTATAATATTATTAAATGGCGTATTATATATATAATATAATATAATATAATATAAAAGTACATGTTATATATATAGTTATATATTATATTCTTGTAAATGTGTATATGCATGTATTTATTTATATATTTGTCTCCTCTGGTCCCCAGTCCCCAGTAGCTATTATATATATTTATATCGGTCTCCAGTCCCTCCTTTATAAATGTTTATGTATATGCATATACATGTACTTATTTATATATCTGTCTCCTCTGGTCCCCAGTCCCCAGTCCCCAGTAGCTATACATATATTTATATCGGGTCTCCAGTCCCTCCTTTATATATGTTTGTGTATATGCATTTACATATACTTATTTATATATTAGTCTCCTCTGGTCCCCAGTCCCCAGTAGCTATATATATATTTATATTGGTCTCCAGTCCCTCCTTTATATATGTTTGTGTATATGCATATACATGTACTTATTTATATATCTGTCTCCTCTGGTCCCCAGTCCCCAGTCCCCAGTAGCTATATATATATTTATATCGGTCTCCAGTCCCTCCTTTATATATGCATATATACAAACATATACATGCATCTATTTATATATTAGTCTCCTCTGGTCCCCAGTCCCCAGTCCCCATCCCCAGTAGCTATATATATATTTATATGGGTCTCCAGTCCCTCCTTTATATATGTTTGTGTATATGCATATATATGCATCAATTTATATATTAGTCTCTTCTGGTCCCCAGTCCCCAGTTACTATATATATAGGAGAGTTTTTTTTGAAAAACAATTTTGACTTTAAAGCCCCCTATGATTACCAAATTTTCTCACTTTTTTTCCTCAATTACAAGAATTTTTTTCAAATTTTGATAATGCACTGATATACCCCCCTATAGGTATCTAGTGTGTAAATGTAATACTTAATCATAATTATATTACATGAATAAAAAAATAAATAAATAAGTCGAAAATCGATGATAAATTTGATGAATTTTTTAAAATCGACATTCCCATGTTATCCAATGGGAAATGGTAGGTTTGCCGCAAGTTATATGACAGAATATCCATCCATCTGAGTCCTTAAAAAAATACGAGTTAGGCAGGCAATTGAATTTGATAACTTTATTTAACAAAAATTGATATGTTTCTTAAAGTTTAATAAAGTTATAGGGCTTTAAAGTCAAAATTGTTTTTCAAAAAACCTCTCCTATATATATACTGGTAACTGGGGACTGGGGACTGGGGACCAGAGGAGACTAATATATAAATAGATGCATGTATATGCATATACACAAACATATATAAAGGAGGGACTGGAGACCGATATAAATATATATATAGCTACTGGGGACTGGGGACTGGGGACCAGAGGAGACAGATATATAAATAAGTACATCTATATGCATATACACAAACATATATAAAGGAGGGACTGGAGACCAATATAAATATATATATAGCTACTGGGGATGGGGACTGGGGACTGGGGACCAGAGGAGACTAATATATAAATAGATGCATGTATATGCATATACACAAACATATATAAAGGAGGGACTGGAGACCGATATAAATATATATATAGCTACTGGGGACTGGGGACTGGGGACCAGAGGAGACCGATATATAAATAAGTACATGTATATGCATATACACAAACATATATAAAGGAGGGACTGGAGACCGATATAAATATATATATAGCTACTGGGGACTGGGGACTGGGGACCAGAGGAGACAAATATATAAATAAATACATGTAAATGCATATGCACTAACATATATAAAGGAGGGACTGGAGACAGATATAAATATATATATATATAACTACTGGGGACTGGGGACTGGGGACCAGAGGAGACAAATATATAAATAAATACATGTAAATGCATATGCACTAACATATATAAAGGAGGGACTGGAGACAGATATAAATATATATATATATAACTACTGGGGACTGGGGACTGGGGACCAGAGGAGACAAATATATAAATAAATACATGCATATACACATTTACAAGAATATAATACATAACTATATATAACATATACTTTTAAATTATATATATAATACGCCATTTAATAATATTATAACTATATATATAATATATACTTTTATATTATATTATATTATACATATAATACACTAAATTTTGTGTGGTCTTACACCAAGTTCATGCCCAAACGTCAGCTAACTCTTATATTTAGCATGTTAGCGACGCAGACAGGCCTTGAAAAAAATAGTAGTGGTGGATGGGTTGTAGCATAGGCCCCGGGAACATGTATAAAATAGCGAGTTGACATCTGTATTACTAGAAGTATTATGTTATTAAGAAGTAGTATTACTAGTAATACAGATGTCGACTCGCTATTTTATACATGTTCCCGTGCAGCGGGGCCTATGGGTTGTAGCGTCAAGAGAAAAGTGAATGCTTGATATTCATGAATGAACATACCGAATTGCTTTCATTGTTGCTCTATACACCCTGTATCTGGCTTTGAGTTCTTCATGCTCCTCTGGATCTTCATGCTTTGGTTCTGGCACATAAAATATCTTGCTTTTATTTTTAGGTGCAGTTCTCCACATTCTATGTCGTATCGATTGACTCACAACCCATGGCAATCCAGTTTCTATATTCTCATGTTGCATACACTTTTGTTTTGCAAGGTTTGATGCACATTTAATGCGATTAAACATGATTTCAAGTAAATAAATTATTGGGAATTTTTCTAAGCACTACTTCCGGGAGGATGCATTTAAATTGCGAACAATATGTTGTCTTAGGTAAGAACGAAGGACAGTCATTGTACACAGAAAGTAAAACGTATAAAAATAGTTAAACCGGAGATATTTGTATAAAAATATTTCATTTAAATAATGTAATTCCAGTTGACTGTAATGCTATATCATAAAATAACAAATATTTTCGTGTAATATATTTTGAAGCGTTCGTATAATCATCACAGCAAACCGGAAGTTGGAAAAACGTGAGAAACTTTACTTTATTTTGGTGTATTTTGATGTGTTACTTGCATATGTGGACACCGATTTAAATTGTAAGGTAATGACTTCTCTCATATTTGTTTTTGCAACATTTTCTAACTCGATTCTATTCTATGATGGTTACATATGGAAGAATACATATTTTGATTTTTTTTCTGAATTTATTAAAAAATTTCATCCAGAACACGCTCCTCGTCAGTCCAAAAATTGACCCTGTTCTCAGTTTTTGCCGTATTCTTCAACTTTTTCTTTATATACGGTAAGTTTGGCCATCACAGTATATTATGTTATGGAGGTCATCTGTCTGTATGTTCCTAACCACGGACGTCAAGTACGTTTCTGGCGAAAGCTGGAGCATAGATTATTTAGAGGACTGGAAACAAGATGGCAGTCTATTTCAATTCTGGCAGTTCATTTTGGCCTATTTCTCACTATTGACTCAGTTGTTCATCTAGTTTTACTTACCTTAGATGCTTACACTCTGTTAAGCATGATAAAAGGCAAGAAGTTTAGTTAGAAATAAAAGAGTTATCTCATGAATGGGACCCTTACATAGCTCCTAAAAGGTAGAAGACACTAAATGGTGTAACACTATAAGCTGAATTTTGTCCACATAGAGCATGTGCACAATAACTGTCAAAAGAACTGAAATATACTTACCAGCTCGACTCTTCCGGAAGTTATGGTGTAACTACAGTAATTAATTTTAAAATATTGAAAAAATCACAAAATACAAGTTCTGAGGTATATATCGCCATTTTTAAGCGAATTAGCCCATACTATGACTATATATTCGCACCCCCATATACAGATATATATAAGCTTCATCTTCACAATAAATTGAGCTTCTTTCAAATTTCCATTTTTTGAGATAAGTGCCATTTTCTTACAATTCAAGCCGTAAAAATAGTTGGAAAGTGCTTCCCAGTTGAGGTTAATGGCTTTTATACTTACATTAACGTATGGAGCACTTAAAATGTACTTAGAATCGTATAAATAGCTCTATTCTGTGAGATTTATTTTTGTTTTTATTTTTATATTTTTCTCACCTCATAATTAAAGAGCTCCGCTGTTGATTTACATTCAGTTACACGTATTTCCTTGAAAATTCGCCATGATTGGAACAAATGATGGTTGGTTTATGTTTTATTCATTTAGTTTGTATTTGAATCTAGCTACTTAAACACAAAACATGTCTTCATGTTATGCTAAAGAGCAAAGATCGCGAATTCTAGGTGAAGCCAATTATTTTGCACAAGTCATATCCTGATTGCAACATAGTTACTTTGTACTAGTCACATCCTGATTGCATCAGCCAATTCACGTGATTTACAGTTTACACCATTCTCAAAATTCATTTCGTTCGTTGCGTACCTTCACTACCTCTCTGACGTTGTTAAAATAGTTCTAAAATTCCCGGGGCACGATCTTAGAAAGCTTCAGAAATTAGCACTTTCTTTATTACGAAATCAACAACGCCAAAAATTTAATATAACGTAAATCATGACGTTTGCAAATGATTTTACCATCGAAATTGGTAATAAATGTTGTATTTGATGTGTTTTTAGGTAAAAATCTCCGTGGAACAACAAATTGTAAAGTGTCAAGATCGATAATCACTGGGTTCAACATTACTACACGTTTTCAAGATGGCGTTGTCAAAATTTTCCAAAACCGCTTCAAATAATATTATGTTGATTTCTGGCGAGTTCACCAATGTCATAACTTGTTATCTAACAACAAGATAAAGAAATATGTAAGAAATGTATGGAGATGACGTCACTTCAAAACGAACTGCATAGCAACGGTGTTAATAAACAATTTCTGATCGGAAAGTCCTTGCAAATTCCTAAGACAGTAGTATTCTCTTATTTTAACAGTTTGTTACGAATTACTCAATATTTTTCTTACAAATGAATTCTTACTACATTAGAAATAAACATTTTATAAAATATAACGAATAAAATCAGTAGCAAACGCAAAAAAATACATTTTTTGAAGGAGGTCAAAATATTTAGAAGGGTAAATTTCGCGGGAATTTAAAGATCTGCATGAGGTAAGGCACAGGAGGTACGGATGGCACTGGACGAAAGGCTCGGAGACTGAGTTTACACATGGTTTCAATATACATGTTATACTACTTCCGGGTAGGGTAATGTTTTTTATACTTTAAAAACGAAGCCATTTCGATCAGTTTTTATAATCCTTGGTAGAACTGAGAGGTATTACAATACATATTTAAATTAATACACATGAGTGTATTTGATGAACTCTCAAAAAATAAAACCCACAATAATATCTTTTTTATTCACAATTTCATGTCATTGTTTCTAACAAGTCACCTCTTTCTCTCTTTTCTTTATTTTTGTCAACAGTCAAAATCGGAATTTAAAACTTGGTTTCTTTACAAGCTCTGCTTCTGTAAATACTAAATAACATGAAAAATGTTAAACCTTACATCCTACACTTATTTGATATGAAATAGGCGATCATTGATATCATTTTTGTGCTGTTAAGTGTGGATCTTTTAATTTTTTAGTCAAACTTGATCGCTGATCTCTGTCGATGTGACGTCACGCATTAAGTATGCACGCATGGGCAGTACAATACATAAGGCAATATGGCGTCTTAGGCCTATACATGAGCCAGAATGGAGGTCTGCAAGTTGAAATGAATATGTTTGTTTATGCATAAATCGATCACACATATAATCCAGACAATCTTTCAAATTATATACTTAACATTGTAATGGATTTATTTACGTTCCCTTTAATTTTCATTGGTGAAGCGATGATTTTACCTAAAATGAGTCCCTGTCTTTGCATAGTGATATTTAAAAATCGAGAAGCAAAACCTATGTTGAATATACTGTGTATTGATGAAGTTTATATATAGCCTAGGGGAACTCAAAAATATTGTTATTATATCGGCAAATTCGCTCGAAAATGGTTGTACACCCTAGAAATTGAATGTTGTTGATTTTTTCAATATTTTAAAATTAATTACCGTAGTTACACCATAACATATCATAACTTCCGGTAGAGGCGAGCTGGTGAGTAATTTCTATTATTTTGACAGTTCAATTGTACATGTCTTTAGTATTGTGCACATGCTCTATGTGGACAAAATTCAGCTTATAGTGTTACACCATTTAGTGTCTTCTACCTTTTATGAGCCATGTAAGGGTCCCATTCATGAGATAACTCTTTTATTTCTAACTAAACTTCTTGCCTTTTATCATGCTTAACAGAGTGTAGTAATCTATTTAGTATAATTTTGTTTCCAAAATTATTGTCATTTGCGATAATTAGTACTAAAAGTACTTTGAACAGATCAGCTGCCATTTGCTTGGCTTAATCGTACCAGTCCACAAAAACAGTGAAATCATATTAAAGATACCAATTAAACTTTAAAATTGAGGCAGATGCGATACAAAAAGACTCTATTAATACAGATATACAGGTTACAGTCACCAAGATAGGCTAATTTCAGGCGAGATTCGGGAAATAAAAAGGTAGGTCATTCTGGTTTCCAGTCCTCTAAATAATCTATGCTCCGGCTTTCGCCAGAAACTTACTTGACGTCCGTGTTCCTAACAGTACTGTCAACCCCCAAAGATTTTCTCGCGGGACAGATTTTTTAGACCCAGTGCCAAAAATTCGCGGGATTTTGCGGGACATCTACTAAATTCGCGGGATTTCGCGGGACATTTAAGGTCTCATGGAAGTTAACAGGAAATGACAAAACAAAAAATGACAAAGCCATGCTGGATTTTGAAAATTTTTTGAACCAAGATAACAGAGTTCTGTTTGGACCTCCAGTCAGTTTAACTAGTTCCAAATATCATTTACATGACCAGGAACACAATTGAAATGGTCAGAATGACCATAAACATGATAAAATAACCTTTTTAGCCCTCTGAAAATGTGACTGAAAAATAGCTAAAAGTAGGTGCTCAGGAAAGGTCAATGAACAGAATCTTTTGATTTTTTCAGAATATGTGTCCAATATATTGCTCTAAATGACACAATCTTTGAAATTTTAAAAAATCGTCTGAAACAATAATGGCTGTAGTAAAAAGGAAAATAGATCGATTTTCAATTCAGTTTTTTTCAATTTTTTCTTTTTCTAAGAATGATATCAAATTTTTTTGAATTGTATCATTTAGAGCAATATATTGGGCACATTTTCTGAAAAAGTCAAAATATTCTGTTCAGTGACCTTTCCTGAGCACCTACTCTTAGCTATTTTTTAGTCACATTTTCAGAGGGCTGAAAAGGTTATTCTATCATGTTTATGGTCATTCTGACCATTTCAACTGTGTTCCTGGTCATGTAAATGATATGTGGAACTAGTTAAACTGACTGGAGGTCCAAACAGAACTCTGTTATCTTGGTTCAAAAAATTTTCAAAATCCAGCATGGCTTTGTCATTTTTTGTTTTGTCACTTCCTGTTAACTTCCATGAGACCTTAAGGGATTTGCGTGATTGGCCAATTTTTTTATCAAATTCGCGGGATTTCGCGGGACCATTCGAGGGACAAACACCCTAATTGCGGGACAGTTAACAGGTTTACCACCAAAAACTTCATAGAGAGACAGATTTTTTAGACAAAGTGCCCTAACTTTGCGGGATTTCGCGGGACATCCACCTAAATTTGCAGGATGTCCCGGGACATTCAAGGGATTTGCGTGATTGGGACTAATGTAAAAGCGTGTAAAAGTACTTAAATCAAACTTTCAGATACTGATTAATCAAATATAATGCACCGTTACATTGTAACTTAAATAAACGTCAACATAATTTCACAAAATACGCATCGGAATATTGTTAAACTTTATTGTAATTTATCAAAAACAAAAACCATGCTTCAGGTGTGAGTATCGTAATCTTACACGAAATTAAAAAATTCGGAACAATACTTTGCACTTCTGGCGTCGTGCCCAACTATGAAATGCTTATACCCCCATAATGTACCTATTCATATACTGTAGGCATGGGCTTTCAATTGAATTAGCAAACGCGAGTTACAATAAATGGACGCTGATATCTAGAAAGGGTTTGTAGAAAAAACCGGGTACCGGGTAGTAAATCCTCCATGCTGGGTTCAAACTTGGTACCCGGTCGAAAAAACCGGGTACCCAAAAAACGAAATATACGAATATACAACATAATTAGATCATTAGAAAACGTGTAAGATCTGTTTTGAATTTACAAAAATGTATGTAACTTCCTTCAAAATTGAGCTAGAAGCTTCAGATAAAAAGCATTTTAAGGCTTTTTTCTTCCTCTATCATCATGGTCATATTTCCATTGGTAATGAAGGGGGGGGGGTGCACCCCCTCCTGGCTACGCCAATGGCATTGTAAGACGATTTGAGTAACAAGACAAATCAATTTTACTCTATTTTCAATAGTTCGTATGATGGTACATGAATTGTTTTGATTATGATTTAAATCTGTATAGCTATCGTTGCTTTAGCAGAGAGGTGACGTGTGTTAATTTACATGATGCAACATGTAAGATTTTGATTATTAATCATAATTTAAGTTATCCCAATTTTCGACAAAATGTCCACTGAATTGTAATGTTATGTATTACAATGTCATAGGCGTAGCCAGGAGAGGGTGCGATGGTGCGATCGCACCCCCCCCCATAACCAATGAAAATATGGCCATGACGATAGAGGAAGAAAAGAGCCTTAAAATATGCTTTTTATTTGAAGCTTCTAGCTCAATTTTGAAGGATGTTACATACATTTTTGTAAATTCAAAACAAATCTTACACGTTTTCTCATAATCTAATTATGTTATATTATATTCGTATTTTTCGTTTTTTGGGTACCCGTTTTTTTGAGCGGGTACCGGGTACCAAGTTTGAACCCAGCATGGAGGATTTACTACCCGGTACCCGTTTTTTTCCTACAAACCTTTTCTAGATATCAGCGTCCATTTATTGTAACTCGCGTTTGCTAACATTTGCTCAGTTCTGAGATGAAGGCCACACGGGTAGTAAAAAGGCCAACGTTGGAACTATTTGTGACCTACATCCCTATTTTCGTAATTAAAATGAAAGTTGCACCCTTCCTCTTTATTTTGATACCAAACAACAGCATGCTAGGTACTTAAGATTAGGTAAACTTTACTCCTCAAAAGTGCAAAAACTTAGCCTTTTATATAAGATAATCACAATATAGGGGATTGCAACTATTTCGGAAATTCGCGGAGGTCAAAGCCACATTGCGGGACTTCGCGGGTCATTGCGGGACACGCGAATTAGCCTAATTTTGATCAAATTCGCGGGATTATCCCGCCATTCGCGGGACACTTGACAGCTCTGTCCTAAGGAGCACAACACAAATACTAGAAGGCTTCATTATAATATACATGTACAGTGCTGGTATTCATTAATTGATCAGTCGTTTTATTGGCATATTTTCTTGAGTTTTAACATTTATTATCACAAACTCCAGAAAAGTATACACCATAAATCATATTTACCAAAATGAGTGTCTCCAAGGCTTCACAAGTGACCAGCGTATGCATAATGCATTTGTCACGAGTTTGAGCTGAAATTTCGCCAAAATGAAGTAGACTAAGGGTAGTCTCTGCCAGGTTTGTTTATTGTGGTAAGCTTGTAAGTGCTCAGAAGCAAATAATTCATGTGCGCAAAATAATCAAATAATCTGATTGGTTTAAACTTTGCTGCACATGCGCGCAATGTGTGCCATGTTTTTTCTAGGGGTTTCGTTTCATGGAGTTTGCGTTTTAGTGCAACTTCCGCAAAAATGGCGGACCATGGACAGAACTAACAGGTAATATCATTTCGAAATTTCAAGAGAACTTTTTACCTATAATAGCAAAACTTTTGTATTATTTGTGCATTCTATCTATCAGATAAGAGTCTCAGGGGTATGTAGGCAAATTCATTTTGGTAGGAGCACTCTGTTTAGTTTGAAAACGCACCCTTTATTATTATATATTAGCACTGTACAATAATACAATTCTACTTATCATTTCTTAGGTCTAGAAGATTCAAACATGCCTGCTGAGGAAGAATCTTTCCCAAGAGGGGGTATCAATAAGAAAGGAAACAAAGCAAAGGAACTGACAACTCCTGTTGATAAAGATCTTTTCAAGGTTTGTACAAATAAATTCAACCCGCAGTTGGTTATCAGAACTACAAAACAATGTGATTTAAAATACAACTATACATGTATATGTATAAAAAACTAGTCTCAGTTTGGAGAACGAAGTTCATCAGTCTGCTGCATGTTACGCCTGCTTTGGACAATTTTGATATTTTTACATAGTGTAGATTTAAATGTCCTCTTTTGAATATCCATAATTTATTTTGGGTGATATTTCTATATTTTTCATAAAAAATTATTAGCGCACTACACTGATGAACTTCTTTCTCCAAATCAAGACTTGTCTTTTATTGTTCGCCAAAGCGAGACTTGTCCTTTAAAAACAAGTGAGTATGGCTGAACTACATACTGTAAAACCAATGTATGCGAACATGAACACCTCTAGCAAACACTTGTAATGTGAATACTTTTTTTAGTTCCACATTTTGCATATTTTGACAGAGTGATACAACAGTAGATGGTGCCGCTATTAATAAAAGGAAGAGGAAATCACTGAATGAAGAAGCAAGCGGAGAAAAGAAAGCAAAGATAGTAGGCTCTGGTATAGGAAGTCAGCATGCAAGATTTGATAGATTTATTGAACCCTTGTCTTATCAGGTAAGTGGAACACTTAGCTTGGTACTGTATTATTGCCATTTCTGACTTGTTATACTGCAGTGTAAATAGTCTAGACTAGTCTGTAAACAAAACTATTTACTGCATGCTTTTTTCAATTTGCTTAATAAGTTGATTTAATAATGAGATACATGTTAAGTTGTAATGGAGAAGTTGAGCAGTCAATCCTAAGGACTTTTTGTGATTTAAGTTAAAATTAACATTTTATGAAATGGAGAAGTTGAGCAGTCAATCAAGGTCTAGGAACTGACTTTTTGTGATTAAAGTTGAAATTAACATTTTATGTGCATTGATTTCTTTTAGAATGTCACAGAGGGGTCTTTATTGTATGGCTGTGTTAAGGAAGTACATGACTATGAGCTGTCAATAGGCTTCGCCAATGGACTAACTGGGACACTAAAAATCAACAACATTTCTGATGCATATACTGAACTACTCAGAAAAATCACAGAAAGTGACAAAGAGGAAACAGAATCAGATGTGAGTCAAAACAAAAAATATTTTCAGTTAAAATCCCCCCCGGATAACCATCAGATCAAAAAGGGTTTATGTGATTGTGCATGCTTGTCTCCAGAGAGATAATGTTCTTAAATATGTGTGGTGTACTTGAAAATTTGACAGGTAAACATTTAGTTTATGCAGGGAGAGTACTCACTATTAAAAAAGAACATTATGCACAAATACAAAATATCACTGATTTTGGAAACACTTACTTAGCAGCATGTTTTATCTCAACCATTATATTTCAGGAGCTTCACAGTCTACATGATCTTTTCCACATGGGGCAGTTTCTCAATTGTAAAGTTCTGCAAGTCGTCTCTTCCGGGCAAACCAAGAAGAAACATCTCAAGTTGACTATTAATCCCAGAGATGTGAACAAGGGCCTAACTGGGGGGAATCTCAGAAATAATATGGTAAGTATTTAGTCATCCATAGTTATATAGATTTGGATGTTGTTGTTTTTCAGAGATTTATGTAGAAACTCTCCTTACTATGGTAACATTTGAACAAGTTTACGATTGCGTTGCTAAGTGCTACTGAGCTGAATTGACAGTATTAAATATCACATAAGTCGTGGTCATACTTTATTGTAAACAAAGATCTTATTTTTTCCTATTGTATTTCCAGGTACTACAAGGATGCGTATCCAGCATTGAGGACCATGGTTACCAAATTGACCTTGGTATTGTTGGCTCAAAGACGTTTCTCACAAAGAAAGCAGCAAAGAAACTTCTTTCAAAATTGTCAGGTAAGAGGAGGAAATACCCCACAATTCGTAGATGGACCATCTCCATGTAAAGATTAACCTCTAGAGATTCATCTTCATATGGAGACAAGTTTGTCTATGAATTCTGGGAAATTCCAGCTTCTTTTGTCAGGTATATGTCTTCAATCTTCATTAACAATAACTTCATAGTGTAGCTGTATCATACAACTAATTGCAACCAGTTGAAATTCCATTTGTAACTCATGTTAGAATTCGGGAAATTTATTTTGCATATTTCAGTAATTTTCCACCTCATTGAAAAACTGTATCTTGTAAACAATAACAGTGTATCTTAAAATCTAATGCTCCAAAACTGCAGTACTTAAATTTGTTCATTATAGATGATAAGCTGATGATAGGTCAATCAATAGCATGTCTGGTAGAAGGCTATGATAAAATGGCAGCAGCTACGGGTGAAGTGAGGACCATCAATGTTAACACCAACCCAAAGGATATCAATAAAGCAGTAGTGAGTGCAAAACAATTTCTCATAACAATATTTCATCAATTGTTTAGAGGGTAAACTGTGTATGGTCATCCTCCTCTTAATGTCGTAGGATTCTTCAAATATTGATGAATTTGTCCGGCTTGCACATCCCAGACACTGAGAACTTTTTTTAAGTAGTCATCAGTTCAAATTGAGATAAGCAACATTTTGTTTGCATGCTGTATGGATACAATTCTACTTATCAATACATGTAGTTTTCTAAGTAAAAGCTATTAAACGTTTCATTTAACATGTAATGAAACCAAAAATTGAGAACTTTGATGCATATTTATCGACCTTATTTGAGTATTTGTTTGTTTGTTTAGATCCCAGATGAGGTTCACTTTGCCTTGAATGCATTGCTGCCTGGTACAAAGGTCGTCTCAACAGTAAAAAAGGTAGTTGGTTTTATTAGCTGACATTATAGAGAGCAACATTGACAAAATACACTTATTCACCATATATTTGTATTCAGTCACTCATTGGAAACTTTGTTTGGAGAAAATTATAAATGTTGCTTATAATTTTGTCTTTATATTGCTGAATCCAGCTTTAATAATGAATTGCATACTTGTTATTCTTATGTGTTTCAAAATGTGATTTGATGTTATTTTCGTTGTTTGCATTAAATGGTTCAGGTATAGTTAGACTAGTATACAGCTGTATTTTTCCTGGTCATTTCTGAATAAAATTCAAATGTTGTCTTTTTGCTTGCTCATTAAACCTTAATACTTATATCTGTTAATCACACTGTTATCTATTATTTTGTAAATGTGTTTTATTTGACAGGACAACACACATTTGTCTTTGTAGAGCTTTCAAGATGGTATAAGTGTGAAGTTCTCAGGTTATACAGGGCATATTCATTCCTCCCACCTTCCTAAAGATCCCACCCTCTATGATAATGGTGTTGAGGTCACGCCCATTGTGCTGTCAATCAACTCAACAACAAAGGTGGTACACATGTCACTCAGGTCAAAACTGGTCAAAAGGGAGGAGCCAACTCTGCTAAGCCAAATATCTGTTGGTCAGATCTTTGATGAGGCAGAGGTTACCAAAGTGCAAAAGAAACTTGGAGTGTACTTTAAGTTGAATGATGGCCTGGCAGGATTTTCATATGTAAGTATACATGTGATTTAATTAGTTGATGGAAAGTTCTCAAATAGAAAATGTTCAGATGAAGCAACTGTACAGGATATTGTTTACTAAAAAAAATCTCTGATGTCACTTTTTTAAAACCTGAACAGGGTGTTCCAGAAACTAAATGCCCAAGTACATATTTTCACATCACAATTTCAGATAAAGAATTTACATGACAAGCCAGTACAGGATGTTAACAAGGCATTCCAAGTGGGATCTAAACACAAATGTAGAGTGAAGAGCTTTAATCCAATAGATGGCCTCGTTGTAGTGTCTCTGCAGGAGTGAGTAGCGAAAATTCTTTATTGTATATTGAGTTATAAATCCTGTATTGTAGACAATAAATATGCGAAAATCTGTATGGAGGATAAATAGTGTACATATCGTAATGTGTAGACATTAAATCCTGTACATGTTGTACTGTATAGACTACATATTGTAGTCTATAGACAGTAAATCCTGTACATATTGTACTATATAGACAATGAATCCTGTATTTTAACAGTTCTATTTATTTTAATATAAGCTGCTTTACATTTATTTCAGGAGTTATCTGGATCAGGCTTATACATCTTACAATGACATAGTACCTGGAGACAAAATAAAGGTTAGTTTCAATTCACTTGTTCAGAAGAAATTGAAGACATCAAGTTTAATGAGATAAATGATATTCAACAATATGATCTGACATGGATTTTTGTGATAATCAAAGCAATTATTAACTGTTTTGGAAGTGAATTCATGCAATTTTTACATTGATTTTTTAAGAAATTAAGACATCAAAAGATTTCTGAGTCAATTCTTCATAATCATTTTAATCATTTTGACTCAAGATTTCTCCTTGCTTTGCACCAATGATTTGTGTTGTATTACAATATTACAATTTACCTATGGAACTCATTTTGTATTTTAGTGCAAAATAATGAAGGTGTTGGACAAATGTCTTATTGTGTCAATCACCAGTCACATAACGGGTGTCATACCTCCTCAGCATTGGGCAGATGTTCCCATTAAGAATCCATCGAAAAGATTTTCAGTGGGAGATACATTGAAATGTCGGGTAAGTGATTTTTCTGATTATGTTTTCTGTTAGGTAATAACTGAGAATAGGGACACAATTAAATGTTTTGAAGCTGAGTTTCATCAAATACCCAGTGTCAGAGTCTTACTAGACTCTGAATTTATCATATGATCTGTAAAATGAAGCCCTCTGATTGGTCACTTCTTGTGCTGTACAAATCTGTATTGCTACTTAGATTGTCCCCATTGATCATCTCCATAGCAATACAGAAAATATTGGTACGGAGGTAGGGGCAATCTCAGTAGCAATACAGAGAATACAGAATAATTCTTAGGGATTATCTCCTGAGTAAAATGTTTTGGCCTGAGATCACACGATAAAAACATTATTAAATGATTTGAAGTGTAATACAGGATATATTCTGTCTCGATATTCTGTATTGGCACTTGACTTCGTCTTGTTCCAATACAGAATTTCTTGAGCAGAATATATCCATTATTGCACTTCAAATCATTCAATAACTTATGGTACAGCAGTTTTGACGCAGACGATAGGATCCAAAAGACCTGTAGTTCCATTATGAAATGAATGTCAGGTACTTACAAAAGCAAAAAATTCAAAGACTGCATATTTGCTATTTTGATTTTGGTATTTGTTTTTTATCAAATGTATTCTCAGTGTCCGGATTGGCTAATGCTATATCGAATAATTGTCTCTAACCCAAAGAGGGTAAACAAAGCTAGCTTTTAAAGAAGCAAATTCAAACTTGAAAAGGGTTATACATAGACTACAGTTCATCTCTTGTTAATTTAGTCAATGGTCTTTTATTTATAACATCATTCATGAATTTTCTCCAAAATTGAAACTTTTCCTTCCTGAATAGTTGTCTCACATATGGCTGGGGTTGAAGCACAGCATATTCTTCACTCTCTAAGTTGTATTGTGGCCAAAGTGGCAAATCTGCACTGTTAGGATCTCTGGAAAAAATATTTAACATGTACGTTTCAAGAGATTGAAAATGCTTTGGTCATGTATGTTACATTCGCTTTCTCTCTTGATATTGTCTTCGCTTGACTTACACTTAATGGATCTTACCCATTTTTTGCAAAATTGGTCCAATATCTCATCATTTGAATTACGAAGATTTCCTCATCCTTCGAATATGTAAATCTTTCATTATATTCATTTGGGTTCATAAATCCCATTCCAAACAAGAAGTAAAGCTCGTCACAATGTGCAGCTGCATCTCTAGACCTGATATTCCTCAAGTAGCTTGAAGAGTGGGAGAATATATAGAGAAAAGCTTTCCCACCTCGCTCTATAAAGAATAAATCATATACTTTTATAAACAATAAATACATATACAATCAATAAAACTCTCTTTTAAGATAAAGTGTGCACTGCTGAACCGTTCAGTATCAATTGGTTGAAATAATAAATTTCAATTCTGAGACTGGTATAGAAGGTTTATAAGACTGTCAGTTTTACATAATAGTTTGAATGTTTAAAAATGGTCATTTGAATTTGAAGTTTTTGAAATGTTCATTATATATTTTTTAGTTTTGTTGCTAGTTATACATATACAGTACATACCTACTATAGTGTTTGTCAAATTAAGCACAGGGAACTCCATTGTAAAGTCAGTTGTAATCTCAAGGGCTTTATCTCTGTAGGTTTTCTCATCCGTTGCTGTTGTATTAGTGTCCAAATAGAACTTTGCAATTTTATTTAGATTTTCAACAGTCACTGTATCTTTTTGACAAAATAATTCAGTTGGATATTTTATTTCTTCAAGAAATGTGTCATAATTGTAGTTTCCATCATGAGACCAAAATGTGAGGTACATGTACATTTCATGTTCTGTAGTTCCCACCATTATAACAGTATCACTAAAATCTGCCTCCTCGTAGAGATACTTAGGATGTTTAGGAAAGAATTCTCCATCAACTGTCACCCAGTTATACTTTGAAAAGCCAGCTTTATCTATAACTAGTCGTTGAATGTCTTTAACAGTGGACTGTTTCACACAGTCAGTTATTTCAAATTTGGTACCATTGACGCATCCTAGAAAAAAAATTTAGTTTTGGAACTGAACTCACTTAAGAGGTTAGAGACATCTCAAATGTTATTCAAAACAAAGTCATTTTCTCCCATTTAAAAAAATTAACTTTTCCTATAAATGTCTCTTCTGAAATAACACCTTGTACCAATTAGCTAATATGATCAAATAAATGTTACCTAAAAACCTTGCTGCTTCATCAAAAGTCTCTTCTGGTTTCTCATTCACGACTATATCAGTGAGTATAGATCCACTCTGTAGTATAGCATACTTGAAGAGACCTTTACTCATTGGTGACACCAGATGTGCAGATGTACTCCATGAACCTAAATATAACACAAACAATATAAACAACATTATATTTCCTTTAATATTTGGGTACAATAGAAATGTGCTTGTGATACAAAATAATATACCAATTAATTTAAAACTTTGCAACTAGAACAGATTTCTGAGTTATAGAGAACTATAGCCTACTAGGCAATGGACATAATTTCATTAACTAGATTCATTTCATTTACTTGAGAGTAAATTATCTTATGGTATATCATGCTTGATATAGTATGTATTGCTTGCTGGGCTTCTTACTTCCTTATATGGCATGTACTACCTGCACTTTCACCAAATATGGTCACAGTATTGGGATCTCCACCAAATGCATGAATGTTTTGTTTCACCCATTTGAGTGCCTCAACTTGATCTTTGAGTCCCATGTTGCCAGGCATATGTTTATCTCCTGTACTCAAGAATCCTGCATAGAAAAGTTATTTGATAATATTAACATATGATAGATATTAAGAGATTGGTATGCATGTAATTTGTGAAAAATACTATTTTCATCCAATAAAGAGAAAATTATGCTCAGATGAGCCCAAATTGCATAAACATTCAAAGGAACATTAAAAGATTGTATGCAAATTTTACCTAGATGTGCAAGCCTATGGTTAATAGTAACAACCACCACATTGTTAAATACACTCAATGCAGTTCCATCATACAGATGACCAGAAGCTGGAAAAGAAAGTACAAGTGTATTATTGCATTGAATGTTTGAATTTAATTGTGCATTAATAAGTTTGTAATCTGCACAAAGGTTTCTACAGTGATACTTTGTTTTCTAATATGACACTACAAAGACCCATTCGGATATCTGACAACCCTAACAATGAATCTATGCAAGGTTCATTTTAACCTACTCTGATATAAGGGGGATTTAGTGGTAGTTTCATAATTCAACCTGTTATGGTTTTTAATCTCTCCAATTTCTCATAGACTGATATAATTTTGCTTCAGATCTCTCCAGTGTCTACAAATCATCGAGTGGATTAATTTTTTTATTTCATAGATCCGGTCTGGTCACATAATTTAGTAATAACGCAATACAATTCTACGTGACAACAGCCTTTACAGTATTTGTGAGCTCAGATATATAGTAACCAATATATCAGTATCAGTTACAGTGATCTCCTAAGAATTCAAAAGGTGCTCAAATGGGTTAGTAGTGGCTTTCTGTTTTGCCTTCACTCCTATGTTGCCCAATCTTGCTCAGAATTTAGTATACTATTATACTTAACATGTTGACTTACCAATGTTGAATCCTCCACCAGCTATCCAGAACATGACTGGAAGTTTAGCATTGACATCGGGAGTATAAACATTGAGTTCAAGGCAATCTTCTGAGTAAAATTTTGCGTCATTTGGTTGCAAAAAGGGAATCTTTAATACCGAACATGCAGCATTCACCGCAACATAGTCTTGTATACAGAAGTGACCTATTGGTATAGACAGTTTTTAAGTATACGTTTGTAGAAAGTATAATGAAATCTACATAAGTACCAATGAAATTACAACTTGATTATTCATGTATTGACTTTTTCAAAATATCAAATGAGCCATAAAAGTAGTTTTGGCACTCATATGTTTGAGGGAAAATTTCATTTCATTTTAGAAAGAACTACAAAGTCGCGTAAATTATTAAATGTTCATAATTTAGTTTTTGATAATTTTATACAATATTAGTCCATTGTGGTTTATCCTTACGTATTTTAGTGGCATCTCTTACACCAGTCCATGGTTTAGCTGGTTTTGGTGGTTGAAACCTGTTGCTCCCTATAGGTGGCTCTGCATATGGTATACTGTAGAATGCATATACAGGTTTACTGTTATCTATAGCATACTTAACGGCACCTTGCACCTGTCCTAATTCAGTGTTCACAACTAATCCAGCAGTTGCGTTAACAACACAGTAGACTCCTGTAGTAAAAATATAAGTGTTTTTCTTTATTCTTTAGAGGCAACAACTACAAAAAGATAACTGTCTCTAAAGTGATATAAATACATGTTTTTTGTTTTGAGTCGGTTGTTATATATGTAGAGGCCCACTCATTATAATATAATCAGTTATTGCTTAGTAATCATATATTCATACTAGAATAACATTGTATCAATTGAATAGTAAGATAGTCAAAACTGCAGTCAGCTGATTTGAGCAAAGTGATGTCAATTTCACCTCATAAAGTACACTCTGAGTCATTAAAAACATGATGCAGTTGTTCTAACTATGTCAGAGTATCCATTTCATTTAGCCTTGTAAAAGTTGAAACGTTGCTTTATTTTTGGTACGTCATATAGTGTCATATGCTAAGTATAGTATTAACGTCATTATTGTGCCTACATCATTTTGTTGCTTACATCACTTTTTAATGGAAAAATATCTTGTATAAATTGAGAGGATTTTACAAACTCCTTGGTTAGCAATTTCGGATCATCAAGGGCACATCTTGGCTGGTAAATGGATGGAACAACAATTTGATTTAGATGAAAAGTATTGTAAAGGACTTTCAGTGTTCTAAAGATGGAAAAGGAAAGTTTAGAACTTTCAAGTTTCTATAAGAGGACAAATGAAGTCAAAAGTACAATAGAAGTTTCATGTTTTTAGACTTTGATTATTTCTATAGTCTGTTGGAAGTCAAACATGCACAGAAGCTGTGATAGGTTTGAAATAGAACAGAATTACAAGATGGTCATTTTAAAAGAGGTAATTAGGAACGAATTGAACTTATTTAGGTAAGCGTCAGTTTTTACTTTTAATGAGAGTTTATACCATTTCTATTTCATTATCTTGTTTTACTAAAAGAATCATGAGAAATCTAAAAGCCTTATGAAGGAAGAGATTTATAGATGATTTATAGTAAGATTGGAATCAATTCATAATTATTAAGAACAACTTAGCTTCAGGTTTTTAAGGAATTTATGATATTCATCTGACTGCAGATTTTGCTTTTGATGTTTGCTCTTATATTAACTAGAATTGATTTCCTCATTGTAAGTGATACTTTAATAGTAAGCTTTTGGTATGTGAAATATTTTGTTTGTAAAATAAATTAATGAATAAGATGAATGGTAAAATTGTTCATTGTCTTCTTTTGAGTTAAAGATTTGCATCTGTGAATTAATATTAATATTTTGGAGTTTTGGTTTGTTTTAGTCTTTCAATATTTAGAAATAAAATTCACCCTTTGTCTTTACGATCATCGATCATTTATTGAATCATAAAATGCTAGCTTCATTAATAGTCCCGGTCGTAGCTACCTACTTATTGTATAACTCCGGGGCTAGTATTTTATATTGGTGGCAGCTTGGTGAGATGCTCTTAAAACCTTGTTTTAAGGGACCCTTTTCATTAATTTTAGTCGATATTTGATTGATGATCAGTTGGGCTTGTCTGTTATATAGCACATAATTTGCAAGGGTGTTCAATGAAGGGTCAGATTTAAATTTTGTCAGATGTTGCCCTTGAGGAATTGCTACCCAGTTTCCTCAGCATGACAGGCTGAGGAGGCTTTAGCTTTTCGGAAATTGGGATTGGGAGTTATAGTTCTTCGGTAGTTTGGCATCAAGTGATTGCATATACTGAGATTTAACTTCTCAAATATATCACACCTTTTTGATCCGGAAGTGTGTGATAAAACAGGTAAGGAAATTGAATTGTTTTTAAATAAAACAACAAACTTGAGTACTGAAACTGAGTCAAGTGATCATTATGGTGCTATCTGGAGTATAGGATTACATTGGGATTAACATAAGGTCATAATGGGTATGGTTCTCATGGCCAAGAGAATTGTCCTCATCTAACCTAAACAGTGTTGTATTTCAAGGTCAGCAGATATAAACTTGTTAGGCATAAATGCATTGTTGCTATAGCAAGGCCAGTATCAGATGATGTTCCATAAATGAAATCCACCTTTTGTCAGGGGGAGGTGAGATACTCACTTGCTGGGTCAGACTAAGTTTGTTCAGTTTAGAGAAGTAAAGTTGAATACAGGCGATTAATAGTTGTTGTTTTTTGTTAGGGAAACCAGATTTGTTTTATATGAGAAATATATTTCATGGAATTAGCTATGAATCAAAAGAGAATTATGAAAAAATTTAAGTTTTTGACCCTAAATCTGTCTGTACTTGATATATACATATATTTGTTTGATTTTGAATAGAGATATAAGAAATTCTCTTAAGTATAAATATTGGAATAGTGAAAACGCAGCTATGTTGTTAGCTAAGGTATTCTACTTATAGAGCATTTTACTTGTTATTGCCCAAAGAATAATACTATTATATTGAAAGATGGCGCTCACTGTTGTTGTTATCTAGATGTTTGGTAAACAGTTGGTTAGTGAATATCTAACCTGTTTTAATTTATACAGGGGCAAGAATTGAAATATAAGTATTTTTCAAGTGAAACAAAATTAGTAAGAGTTTTGACCATTTGATAGCAATAATGCTATCACTAGTGATTCTTTAATTAGTAATAAGATAAATTGATTTCATGTTTTATTTAGGTCAGGGTACGGGTGGTTCAAAAATTATTAGTGGCCGACATCACCACTCCAGCTGTGTTAGGCTACAATTTTTTAAAGAACCAAAAGGCAATTATTAATGTCGGGGATGCACTGTTGACTATGCATGGCAAAGATTTTGATTGTATATTAGAGACTGATTTGTCTACCAAGTGCCGAATTTTGATGCAAGATACTGTCAGAGTGCCTCCCATGACAGAAATGATTGTTCCCGGAAAAGTACAATGTCAATACTTGGGTGATACACCTTTGTTAATTGAAATGAATGGGAATTTGGCAGATAGAGAAAGATTTCCACCCCTGATTGTTGCCAAATCCCTTGTTGACCCTAGTCAACCTTTTATTCCAATTAGATTGGCTAATCTTAGTTTAGAACCCTTGTTCCTTTACAAGAATACTGCAGTAGCAACCGGGGAACCAATGTTTAACATAGGGGATCCTGTTGTTTCTTGTGGGGAAAAACTTGATATTGAGGGTGGTACTTATCCTGAAATTGGTAATTCAATGAGAGATGGTCCACAGGGGGTGAAGGGCAAACGTGCCAGACTACGACCTGACATTTTACCTCGTGACGTAATTGGGGAGTCTCGATGCGATGATGACGATCATTCAGAGACTGACGATCCCTTATGCGCTGGAAACGTCCTAACTAGGGATCTGAGATTATGTTCAGGTCTGACCCCTTGCACTGCTGTAGCTGACGAGGCGCTGGAAAGTGAAGCTGGAAAGTCCTTAGATGACGTGCCGAACGCGCACCTCGGGCAGCCCTATACCGCTAGGATGATTGATTGTCCAGGTCACGCCCTCTGTTCTCATGACGATGGTGTAGCAAGGTATGAACGAGTGACTGGAAATAACATTGCAGCTGGTGGCATTGAATACCAATCTCCGGAAAAGACGGACGAAGATATACCCGACCATTTGAGACATCTGATTGACGATTTGACAAAAGAATTTGACGGACTATGATTGTGCTAGGATTAAGTTGTTTTTGTTTTTTGTTAGATACAGAATCAGAATATTTTTGCAAAATGTAAATTTGATCTGATTGCTTTAACTGAATTAAAATAAGAAGAGTTTTTGAACTGATTTCCTGATACCAAATTTGGAATTTAAAAAACAAACAAAAACAAACTATGATTGACTTAATTTTAATTAATTTCTAGGTATCGTTTTAATGTTTTCTTGTTTTCTAATGTCATTTATGGAGATCATGATTTTGACAGTGAGTTAACAGTTGAATGAATATTGAAGAAAATGTTATAAAATGAAAGCAAACAGAGAACCTGGAACAAGCAGGTTGAGTTTAATGTTTTGAAGAAGTTTCGTATTTTGTTACAGAATGTATTGTTTAATTCCTTATATTCTATATATTATTGTATATTATTAGACTTGTATAGATTAGAAAGAGGGTGGTGGAATGATCACCCTATAGTCTAATGTTGGACAAGTTATTATATATGACTTAATCTAAGTAACCTAAGAAGATTAATGCCTTAAGATCCTAAGGGGGGTTCGTATAGAAATACTTAAAACCCTTCAAGTAGGATAGAGAGGTTAGAATCTTATTACATTTTAGGTTTGCCATTTTATGGTAGAACCCTTGGAAGGCCTCTGGGTAGCGATAATGCGATATGAGAATGTATGAAGAATGTCTGCTCTAGTTCAATGCATACGACAAAGCACTGATCCCGTGTTGATCTCAGTGTCATTTGTGCAGCATGCAGTGATACTGTAGTTGTAGCTACCTCCAAGTTGGCACAAGTCAGATGGGATGCTGAAATCCAGTCGTCTACATGAGGAAAGATGGAGAGAACAATATTGCCTACAACGAGGAGATTTTCTGCTAGCTGTAGAACAATGTTACATCTGACTACATAGATCGGCAGAGACTTCAAATATACCATACTCAGCACCAGCAAATGAAACTGACCTTTGAACATTACAACTGAGGGTTATGAAACGAAGAACTATATAAACTTTCTGATGGACATACAATGTATACATGTATATGCAAATTGTTATAGACGTACATATATCAGCTTATAGCTCCTTATCTCTGAAGAACAGTTTAGAAAAATTGTGTTGTATCAAATTACATACAGTGTATTGCATTGCACTGCATAGCACATCTAAAGCAAACAGGACTTACATATTTAGACATGTTGTTCGAGGACGAACAATTTTTCTATTGAAGGGGGTAGTGTAGAGGCCCACTCATTATAATATAATCAGTTATTGCTTAGTAATCATATATTCATACTAGAATAACATTGTATCAATTGAATAGTAAGATAGTCAAAACTGCAGTCAGCTGATTTGAGCAAAGTGATGTCAATTTCACCTCATAAAGTACACTCTGAGTCATTAAAAACATGATGCAGTTGTTCTAACTATGTCAGAGTATCCATTTCATTTAGCCTTGTAAAAGTTGAAACGTTGCTTTATTTTTGGTACGTCATATAGTGTCATATGCTAAGTATAGTATTAACGTCATTATTGTGCCTACATCATTTTGTTGCTTACATCACTTTTTAATGGAAAAATATCTTGTATAAATTGAGAGGATTTTACAAACTCCTTGGTTAGCAATTTCGGATCATCAAGGGCACATCTTGGCTGGTAAATGGATGGAACAACAATTTGATTTAGATGAAAAGTATTGTAAAGGACTTTCAGTGTTCTAAAGATGGAAAAGGAAAGTTTAGAACTTTCAAGTTTCTATAAGAGGACAAATGAAGTCAAAAGTACAATAGAAGTTTCATGTTTTTAGACTTTGATTATTTCTATAGTCTGTTGGAAGTCAAACATGCACAGAAGCTGTGATAGGTTTGAAATAGAACAGAATTACAAGATGGTCATTTTAAAAGAGGTAATTAGGAACGAATTGAACTTATTTAGGTAAGCGTCAGTTTTTACTTTTAATGAGAGTTTATACCATTTCTATTTCATTATCTTGTTTTACTAAAAGAATCATGAGAAATCTAAAAGCCTTATGAAGGAAGAGATTTATAGATGATTTATAGTAAGATTGGAATCAATTCATAATTATTAAGAACAACTTAGCTTCAGGTTTTTAAGGAATTTATGATATTCACCTGACTGCAGATTTTGCTTTTGATGTTTGCTCTTATATTAACTAGAATTGATTTCCTCATTGTAAGTGATACTTTAATAGTAAGCTTTTGGTATGTGAAATATTTTGTTTGTAAAATAAATTAATGAATAAGATGAATGGTAAAATTGTTCATTGTCTTCTTTTGAGTTAAAGATTTGCATCTGTGAATTAATATTAATATTTTGGAGTTTTGGTTTGTTTTAGTCTTTCAATATTTAGAAATAAAATTCACCCTTTGTCTTTACGATCATCGATCATTTATTGAATCATAAAATGCTAGCTTCATTAATAGTCCCGGTCGTAGCTACCTACTTATTGTATAACTCCGGGGCTGGTATTTTATATATACATGAACATGTGCCAGTATATCTCTAAACTGGTAATTTTGCATATTTTGAATTGATATCTGCACATAAAGCTTCTTCTGAGTTAAACCACATCTTGTTTAGAAAATGAATGGCCATCATTGACCAAACATCAAACCTATGACTTTTCAACTCCATGTACATGTGGATCTTCCTGTAGATTTTGTTGTGTATATCAAGTACTGTATTGGATGTAAAAGGCGCCTAGAGCGCTTTTGCAAATCCCATTGAAACCCATTACAAAGAGTGCCCAAATATGAAAGAAGTCAAAAATCCCCAGGAATTTCATGTATGGGAATTTTTCTAGCCAAGAATGCCTTATTTGCAACATCAAACGAAGTAACAGCGTATGTAGTATTGCTTTACAAAATCACAGAATCACAAAATCACAGAAATGTTACTGATGATGATTCAATTTTAAGTTTACTTACTTGTTGCAAAAATGCAGAAAAGTAAACAGAAAGCACGTTTCATCTTCATCTTGAAAGCCTCTGGTTGATTATACGAAAATGTTTACAAACTTAAATGCATATGGTCTGTGAATGTCAGTTTAACCTGTGTATACTCCTATATTACTGTTACCAAAACTCAACATTAAATGTTCACTGACATATAAAGGTGAAAGTTTGTAAAGTTGTTAACGGATATATCATTATTCACAACTACAACTAGGTCAATAAAAACAAAATGTTTATGTTATGCTGTAGCATCTAACATTTGTGCTAGTTTCTGGATTATACTCAAGGAGGACTGGCTCCCAGAATGCAATCTCAATATTTTCCAACAATGAATTCGATCTTAAGGATGTCAGGATTTTCACTTCAAATTTTGGATCGCAAGTTTTGGTCTAATTACATAACAAAAAATTCAAAACACAAGAAGTGATCAAGATATTAGCTCCAATCTTTTGGATTGCTGATTATGAATTAATAACCAATTTATGTCTGACAATAACGACATTCTAGCATATTCATTGTTAGAAAATATTGAGATTGCATTCTAGGAGCCAATCCTCTTTGAGCCATACTTGTACAGATTTTGTAAACATGGGATGGACATGAACTTTATATCCTTATTTAGGGTGAAAAGTTAGATTCTAGATATTTCAAACAATTCAATCAGAGATAATTTGAGTTAAAGTAGCATATCATTCCATGATTGAGCACATTTAATTCCTTTAATTCCATTGTGGAAATGTTTCTTGTTTGTTTGGTTTACCATGTATCCACCATTATATAGAACTAAAAACAGTTTTCAAGGAAAAGAAACCCTTTATTCATTATAATGTATTTAATGAAAATGTTATTATTTATATTAAATATAACATGGAAACCTGAATTCGCCCATTTCTACTAAATGAATTGCATGAATTATAGTTCGTCTCTTTTTACTTTAATCACATGCCTCTTATTTTCAATGTCTTGCATGAATGTTTTCCAAAATTGAAACTTTTCCTTCCTGAATAGTTGTCTCACATATGGCTGGGGTTGAAGCACAGCATATTCTTCACTCTCTAAGTTGAATTGTGGCCAGAGTGGCAAATCTGCACTGTTAGGATCTCTGGAAAATAAGAATACACGTTAAAGGGTATGTTCAGAGTACACAAGTTGATATTATAACTTGCAAAAGAAATACTTCAGTTGAAAGAAAATAGTCACACTCAGACTTTGTTTTAACAGAACAGAAGGAATAATCTTACCCAGTTTTTGCGAAGTTGGTCCAATATTTCATCAGAATATGTGCAAATGTTTCCTCTTCTTCTGAGTATGTAATCCTTTCATTATATTTGTTTGGATTAATGAAACCATAGCCAAACAATAAGAAAAGCTCATCAAGATGTGCGGCTGCCTCCCTCGACCTACTGAGCCTCATATAGCTAGGAGAGTGGGAAAATATATAGAGGAAAGCTTTCCCACCTCGCTCTGAAAGAAGAAATAAAAATGATTTCTGTTATAACAGAAAATTACCTTGTTTTCGTATATGAATCATGATGCTTTTTGTAGCACCCTTGGGGGCTATATTGTAATCAGTTTCTTCTAGTAAGTCTTCAGCTTCTGATTTTGATTCAATTGCTTGACATATTTTGGTTTTGGAACATTAGTGGGTCAGTGTACTTTTTGAATTTTCGTTGATTTTGAGATCTCTGAAATATGACTTTATTATACTCAAACGAAAGGTATGTTACTGATTTCATCGATGTATGGCTTTTAATGTTCAAGTCGAGGGTTTCCAATAGTAGACTGTTAATATTATACAGGGATGGCTTATTTCAGATTCATGAACATTTGTCATTTGTTTGTTGGGATTTGCTACTCCTTTGAGTTGCCGTTTTCTAGTTCTGTCTTGATCTTGTAGTCTATTCTATTTTACAATTGATCAATTTAGTTTCCTATTTCCTATATGAATGATGGACAGGATTATTTTTCTACATACCTACAATAGTATTTGTCAAATTAAGCACAGGGAACTCCATTGTAAAGTCAGTTGTAATCTCAAGGGCTTTATCTCTGTAGGTTTTCTCATCCGTTGCTGTTGTATCAGTTTCGAAATAGAACTTTGCAATTTTATTTAGATTTTCAACAGTCACTGTATCCTTTTGATAAAATACTTCAGTTGGATATTTTATTTCTTCAAGAAATGTGTCATAATTGTAGTTTCCATCATGAGACCAAAATGCGAGGTACATGTACATTTCATGTTCTGTAGTTCCAATCATTACAACAGTATCACTGAAATCTGCCTCCTCATAGAGATATTTAGGATGTTTAGGAAAGAATTCTCCATCAACTGTCACCCAGTCATTTTTTGTAAAGCCAGCAGTCTTTATAACAAGTTTGTGAATATCTTCAACAGAAGATTGTTTCACACAGTTTGTTATGTCTGATTTAGTACCATTTGCACAACCTGAAAAAAGATCAATTATGTCCACATGCTATATTATATATATTTGTTTGTTGTTGAATTACCATGTTACATTAATTTGGTTGTATCATGTCTTGAGCTAGATTAAGGATGAAGTCATTTTCTTATCTACATGTTCTTATGTTTTTAACCAAAAAATCCTTCAAAAACTTTTTTGAAAATTAATAAAAAGGTTTTACGTATCAAATTGTGATAAAGGTTTTGACCATAATAAGAGTTAAATTTGATTTAACATAGATAGGTCCTTTAATAGTTTACATATTTATACAAGAACAAGTGTAGTTGTATGTGAGTTTACCTAAAAATCCCGCTGCCTCATCAAAAGTATCTTCTGGTTTCTCATTCACGACTATATCAGTGAGTATAGATCCACTCTGTAGTATAGCATACTTGAAGAGACCTTTACTCATTGGTGACACAAGATGTGCAGATGTACTCCATGAACCTAAATGTTACGCCAGAAAGAGGAATAAGGCAGACAAGTGAATATAAGAACAAAATGTTGGCCCTGGTGACGGATAAGTAAGAACGGTTTTTAGGGGAAAACTGTCAATTACCTACGTCCCGGGACCTGCTGTATACCATGAATTTAATCACTGAAATACAAATTTCTGTAAGGACTATCACATTAGAACAACTTGTTAAAATTTGGTGTAAAAATACTAAATAGAACTGGAGATATTGTCATTTCATTGATGCAAATAGATAGAAATAATAAATAAATGGTGCCAAAAGGAGCCTATCATCCTGAAAGGTATTATATAATAGGGCTCCATATCGTCGTGAAAGGGTTAAGAGGTTTACGGATAATGTACATGTAATAACCTAAATAAGTAAGACTAAATGCTAATTTCCTCTATTGAAAATACCTGCGCTGTCTCCAAATATGGTCACAGTATTGGGTTCTCCACCAAATGCATAAATATTTTGTTTCACCCATTTGAGTGCCTCAACTTGATCTTTGAGTCCCATGTTGCCGGGCATATGTTTGTCTCCTGTACTCAAGAATCCTGCATAGATATTATGCTATTATGGCATTTATGATTTAGAACATATTAAGTGACCATGGGACTGTATTTTCATCTGGAAAAGTACATTCTTGATATGTTGACTAGTTGAACCTGTTGTGACCTGATGATGATGATATATGTTTGTATATTGTTGGAGTTTTTGTCTTTAGAATAGATTTAAGTAACAATAACTTTAAATTTTATATAAACATTTATATCAACAATTTTTATTCTTTGATGTACACACTCAAGAAACCATATAAAGAATGAAAGATCTTTAGATAATCTTTAGATACTACATGTAGCCAAACCCCTAAATTACCTAGATGTGCAAGCCTATAGTTGATAGAAACAATAACTACATTCCTAAATGCACTCAATGAGGTTCCATTGTAAAGATGGCCAGAAGCTGAAAATAAATGCATAAAATGCAAGCACCAGTTTAATTACATGCACTAACAAAGTACAGTGCTGTATATAATGTGAATAGTGGTGACATAACTTATTATGACAAATATTTGTATTTTGTAATATATTCTTGCCTCACTTGTGGAAAGCAAGATGATCAAGGGATATTTCTTTTCGATCTGAGATTTTCAATTTTCCATCTTTTCAAAAAAATTGAACTTTGGTATAAACTGGTCAATGATTAACCCTAGCCTCTCATTTGGAGGTGTAATCAAATTTTATTACAATAAGTTAAACGTACCAACATTAAATCCCCCACCATGTATCCAGAACATAACTGGAAGTTTAGCATTGATATCAGGAGTATAGACATCTAGCTCTAGACAATCTTCTGAGTAAAACTTTGTGTCATCTGGTTGATTCAGTGGAAGAGGTTTTAACAGTGAACATCCTGCATTGGCCACCTCATAGTCTTGTATACAGAAATGACCTATTTATAAAAAACAAAGTAAACAAAGTAAACAATGGTTGTATTTCTCAGGATATATCTTGTAATCATAGTATTTCTGTTATTCAAAAAGTGCAACCTGTAGTATGTATATATATTTTAGAAACCCAAATCTTGTATATTTTTTGACTTCACAATGAATTTCTTAGATTCTTTTGAATTTGATTTGAAATGATCTCCGGTCTGCATATGTAAAACTGCAGTCTATATCTTACGTATTTTAGTGGCATCTCTTATACCAGTCCATGGTTTAGCTGGTATCGGTGGTTGAAACCTGTTGCTCCCTATAGGTGGCTCTGCATATGGTATACTGTAGAATGCATATACAGGTTTACTGTTATCTATAGCGTAATGTACAGTGCCTTCTACTTCTCCTAGTGTTGTGATTACCACTCGTGTTTGTTTAAATTCATTTTGCGTGTTCTGGGTAGAACCCAAGACAATCTCTATAAAGAAATCTTTATTTAAATTTAAAATTATAAATAAACATTAATTGAACTGTCCTTTTTTGTTTGCATCGATGTAAGTTATACATACTGTTCTTGTAGAATTAAGTATCATAAAGTTAAGTTATATATTGAAATTGAAATATACATTTCCATTTAAGATCACACATGTTTATAATTTTAATGTACTTACTTGAACCATATACACATATGATAAAGCAATATAAACTCCTTGTCATTCTGAAATCCCTACTTGTTATGATCAGGAGCTACCATTGCCCTTTGGTGATAAAAACTTCTAAAATGTTATCATGCCATTTCTACTTGTCCCGCCAGTGAGAGATTAAACCACTATCTGGTGTTGTTACTTAAAGTATTAAATTCTATGTCCTACATAAAGTAGGTGTGAAATTATACAGGGTGTGCAATGATATTGATAAAAGTGATTGACTCCACTTAGTCGTAATGGTTGTTCAAGGGTACTGACTATATATCACCAAATCATCAAAGGAATATAAAGCAAAAGACAAGAAAGTTCCAGAGACCTTTATCATGATCATATCAATTCCTAATGGAAGAGAAGTTCCTGGAATAGTTGTTTCATATATTTTATATTATTGTGGTATATTGGTTCTTCAAATATAATTTCATATTTAAATTAATGTGTCTGTTTTTAAATGTTGCCTCGTGTTCTTCTTACCGTAAAAGTCATGTATTGAATTTCCTTGTAGTGTCTCACATGTGACCCTGGCAACAAGAAGATTTCTCTCACCAACAAGAAGTCTCTTGTGAAGACAAAGCTGCCTCTGTTGACCGATTACTCTGTGGCCACAAAGGGAATGGTAACTGAGGGATATGTGATGAAAATCCTTAAAAATGGAGTCGTGGTTGGATTTTATAATGGAGTAAAGGTAAATATGTAAATCATATGATACTCATGTTTTAGACAGATCCCCTGTATGGTTAAAACAATAAGCTGACTTAAAGTGGCACTGTCTTTATTCTTAGCTATTTTAAGAAAATATGAATATTGTAGTCAAATTCTTGGGGCGGGTGTACTTGGTGCAACTATGATAACTTACAACTATGATAACTGCCTCCAATTGAATCCATTTAAATGTCTGTGGTTTATGTGTTGTAGGGATTTGTACCGAAGAAGGAGCTGAGTACAGAGATCATAGAGCTTCCTGAGAAAGTCTTCTACCCCGGTCAGGTTGTCAAGTGTGTTGTCATAGCAACTGATCCATCTATGGACAACAAACTTATGTTATCATTTAAGGTTTGTCTTGAATCATTCTGTTGATTCTTCATTCAGTATTCTAAATTTGTTACAGGTAGGCAAGTGTTAATGTTAATAATGCTTTCAGAATATCAATTTCTGTTAAGATTCATTGTAGTCAATTATTATTTGATTTTTGTATTTACTTATAGTTAGACAACAAGGCGTCATTTGCTAGCAAAAAGGTGGCCCTCCCTAACAGTATCACAATAGGGAAGATATACCCCTGTGTGGTATCAGCTAAACAGAAGACTGGCCTAGACATTAAACTGCAAGTTTGCGGTGTGCAGCTAACTGCTTTTCTCCCAAAGGAACATTTATCTGACTTTGTGGAGAATTGTGAACTGTTGTGGAACTTCTATAGTGTTGGAGACAATATTGAGAGGGTGCTTTTGATGGGAGTTACAAATAGAATACTGGTATCCTTGATTTTAAAAGTAAAAAGCACCAAAAAGAGCAATTTAATAATTGGGAAATGAAGTCCATGCTGCATTTATGACCCTAAAGTGTATTTTGTGTCCAATAAACCTGTAATTTATATGACATTTTGCAAATACAGAATGAAAAATCTCAAAATGAATGCCCTAGACAGATGAAAAAATGTGAAAATCAGGCAGTGCTGAGGCTCAAAGAAATCTCCATAGGCTTTCTAAAGACAGAATTTGTATTTGAAAAAATTAGAAAAGTAGAATTAAATCTGGAACAAAACACTGTATACTTCTTTTACATGTATAACCTTTACATGTATTCAATTGTATTTTTACAGGAACATGTAATTTAATTAGATTTATCTTGAATGACAAGGGTTTAAAGCTTCAGTAAAATAAAAGATACACAATTCCTTAATTGATTTAGACAACCAGTCGGAAACAGTCCCTTATCGAGGCCTCTGAGAATGGAGAACTTGTCTGCTCCATCACAGACATTAAGGTACATACTGTTGTTTATTTTGGGTATAACCTTTCAATTTCAAAATTAGTTATTTGTATCAATAAACAATATGGTTGTTGTTTTTGTGTATGGGTTTGTTATGGTCTCCAATGTTGGACATCTGTAACAAATTCTTACAACTTCCAATAACAAGAACTGTTAAGACAGACTTTTTTCAAAATCATCTACAAGTTCTCAAAAGTTCAAATATTACTTGATTTGAGATTTGACTGATTTTCAATGTCAAAAAAGGTAAAAGAGGTTTTTTATGTCACCACCAAAAGTAGCGACATATTGTTATGGTCTCCGTTTTTTGTGACGGCAGTTGGTGGTTTGGGGTTAGTGGTTGGCATCTGGCTTGAACTGTAAGAAAATTTAAATACTTCCAATAACTTAACAAATACTGTTTAGACTGACTTCAATTTTTTTCAAAATCATCTACAAGTTCTCAGAAGGTCAAGTCTGACTTTAGATATTAGCTTTCACCTTCAATGACCTTTTGACCTTTTCAATGTAAAAATGTTCAAAAAGGTATTTTTCAGCTTGCTTCAAATTGATCAATTTGTGAGCAACTAGGTAGTGACATTTTGTCTTGACATTTTTGCTTCAGGTTAATTGTTTTTATTACTGTTTCTTGTGGTAACTTTTTTTAGTTTGTAAGAAATATTAAATACAATTCTTTCCTATTATTCTTTTGTTTTATGTGAACTATTTGAATTCGTTTCAGCCTGGAATGCTGCTACAGGGCTGTGTGAAGAAGATCATGGAATATGGTCTATTTTTAGAATTCCCTCATAACATTGTTGGCCTTGCTCCTATAAAGGTAGGCTTTTTATTATTTTATGTTTTATTTAATTGTTACCAAGCTTATATATTCGCTTATATTGTCAATCCTAGATGTACAGGATTTTTAAAAATTCACTGTATTTGTCACTGATTCAAAAATTGTTTTGTTGATAAAGTTAATGAAATACAGTCAGTACTTGTGTATAGCATTCAAATGTCTGTTAAATATATTGTAAATAAATTCAAATTGAATTTTAGTATGTCAGTGACCGTAAGATACCAGACTTGAAGTCCTACATTAATGTTGGCCAATCAGTGACTGCCAAAGTGATTGAAGTTGATGAGGAAAAGCAGAGATTTCTAGTGAGTACAAGGATGAGTGACTGTTTCCATGACGAAACAAAAGTAGGGCTCCATATATTGAAAGAATATCTCAAAGAACGAAAGGTTCTGATGGATGATGTTGCTAAAAAGAAAGGTATGTACAGCTGACAGGAGGGAGATTTTTCAGTTTAATGATTCATGAATATAAAAGGTACAGGTAAAATGTATGAAATGTTGCTTTTAGAATAATTGTTAAGTTTTCATAAGGTGTTAACTGACAAGTAAGGCAAGGATACAATCTTCACCCTAGTCAGTATCTGTAATTACAGCCAATAGTTACATGAACCTTTCATTAGTATCACCTAAATGCAGGGATCAAGACTGGAAAACCTCTTATAACATATGTCTCATAACATTACAGGAGTGAAGAAAAGGCTAGCGGAGCACCCAGTAGGGAGCATGACTCAGGTTACAGTTGTTGAGATCAATGACTTTGGAGCCCTATGTGAACTAGAGAATGGAGTCAAAGGATTCTCCACCATGGAACATATGATAGGTATGCATGTCAAGAAATTGCTTGTAGTGCAAGAATATATGTATTATTTATTGAATGTAAAACATTAACAAATTCCTTATTTCGAAACCCCCCAAAATACATGAAAATCTGTAAATACATTCAAATTGTTAAAGCAAGCCATAACATTATCACAAGTATGTCTTGTTATTCCAGGAAATAAATGCAAGGCTGGGGACAAAACCAATGCAGTGGTGCTATATATAGACATAGGGAATAGCACAGTTGAGCTCTCATTGAACCATAGTTTACTCCAAGCTTTGAAAAGCAAAATGAAGACTGATCGGCTCTCTATGGTAAGTAGATATTTCGTAATAACACATTCAAGTTATTCTACAAATGTTTGAATGATTCTTTTGCCATCTTAATGATGTTGAACTCAGTCTTGACTTTTTGAAGATGTTCATATTTTTTGAGCAATATGCCTCTTTGCTCTGAGCATTGAATCATATTGCTACTAGAAATACATAGTACAGAAATCCCATGAATTTTTTTATGTTTCTTCACAATGGGATATCACTATCTCAGTCGTTAAACAATTCCTATACAAACAGTGATGGTATGTGTTCCTGACATGTTTTGGAATCTGAGGATGACAATATCAGTTCGAATACAGTATAAGTTATCTTTATGAGTTTATAAAGAAATATGAAGAAAGTGATATACATGTACATTTTCCATGATTAATCACTGATCAGTATCTCTTTCAAAATGGCTAATGGTAATTGTCAATTTTAATATTTTTACTTTTCATCAAAAACCACTTTGCTGTGAACACTCATCTTTGACATTTTGACAACACCAAGTTTGTATTACAGCAACTTGGCAGCATATTAAATTTTTCCCAATATCGTGTGTGGATGTATGTGACTTTGCAACTGCTTAGGACACATGAATTGTTCATTTGCCAATGCACACTTCATATTAACATGCCCTAAGTTATAGAATGGATAGATATCTGTATATAACATTCCTTCGTATTTCCTGAACTAACAGCTGATTTTTTACACCATTGCCAAGGAAGTCAAGACAGTCCAATGTTCATGAATACAATGTATATACATATATCTCTGGTCTGTCTTTGAGTTTTCATGATTACTTCTTATCAAACATGTTTTATATCTATCATCTTTACATTGTAACCTACTTTAATGGGGTCAATAATGCTTTGGTCTAGGCCCTGTACTATATTATGAAATAAAGGAAACATCAATTTAAAAGAACCAATGTCATTATCACTAAATAACCAACCATGCCAGGAACACATAGGTCATTGTCATTGGTAGGTCATTGGTATAGTCACTCCTCCCAGTTTTCCCTACCATAGGGTGGTACAGAATGAGCCTTGGGCCACTGAGTTGCATCAAATTTTTATTTACCTTTTCTGCATAATTGACACATTTTCAGAACTAACGAACTAACGGATGATTATGCACTTAAGTGTGTTTTTCCAGTTTCAACAGCATCATTTCCGATACAATTCTACTCTATAGCAAAACAATTTCTTTCATTGTTTTTTTGAGATGGCAGCATGTCCTCCAAGAACTCATTTTTCTCCTTTTTGTCAAAAATTGACATTTTATTTTAACTGGGAGGAAATGTGACTAAATAATTGTGTAGATTAGTCATGACATCACAGAGATATCATGATTTAACTGCAGCCCAACAATTCCCACATGTCATTTCCAAAGTGTCATTCCATAAACATTAGTGCTCGGACCGGTAATGAAAAGTGGTGCCGGTATTACCGTATGTCATTACCGATATTTACCGACTATTTAGCAAGTATTTTGAAAAAAGCTAAAAAAAAGTTTTCCCCGGGTATATTTCGACAAATATCTCATAGTACGCCATACATACCACTTAATTTATCTGTAGAAACAGTAGAACCCACTCAGAATCATTTTAAACCACCAAACAATCCTGATTCTAACGATTCATGTGATATAAACTCGTAAAATAAATACGTTTTCGTTATTATCAGCCTCGTTCTGAACTTCAAATCGGGCGATAATAGGTAAAGTGAAACTACTACTCTACTAGTCTTAAAAAGTTAAATAAAGTACACTTGGCATTATATAAGTTGTTTTCGCTACTTACTAAACATGTAACATAACAACAACATAACAAAAGGGTAGATCGTTGGGGTGTTGGATGCGCGGTGCTGCATACCGGTCCGTTGTAATTACAAGAACAGGCATAAAAAAAATTTTCTGGTTTAATTCTGTTTATTACACTTAGTAATGTACACAAATCGGTTTCTATACATAACAGTTTAGTCAATAAGTGAGAAAAGAAACAATAAAGATCATACTGATGAAGGAATTTGGCTGATTCCGCCCGGGAATCTAATTCAGCTGAATGCCGTCTATTGCCGGTAAGAAGATTTTGATGCCGGCATTAGGTCAAATCAGTGCCGTTGCCGGTAATGCGGCATTACCTCCGACCACTATTACACAACTGTATTACATTGTACAAAATACAGTTTTATATATACTGTACTTACTTACCATTAATATACAGTAATCTACTTATTAAGTGCCTGTGGCACTTATGAAATTCCCCAAACTCCTTCCAAAGGTTATTTTTATAAGCGCCCATGTGAGGAAGGTTAAAATCCCTCAGGGTCTCATGTGCTGTAAAAATATTGTCAAATACTGTATATGTATTTGAAGAGTAACTTTGTTGTTACATCACACTATTGATATTGATATAGATGGTTTCATGAACATGCTTGGTAAAATTTGCTGAAATGGAAATAAAGTGGAATCCAAAATTGAAAAAACCCTTCATATAAACTCTCACTCAAAGTTTTGTACCCAGACTTTCAGGCACTGATCCTGTAGTGTACTTACATCTATAGCACAATGCTATACCATCGAAGTTTGCATCAATGTCACAAAGCAAGCCAAAAAGATTTCTAACAGGGAAGTGAAATTCAGTTGACAATGATATGTGATTTTATCCCTGAAATCATGAACACACTGCTCTACCAGCAGGGGTAGTCAATATTGGTACGATACAAGAGAACTTTGACTTATTCACAATTTTCAATCTCTACTCATTCATCCATGTTTTTTTTCATATTTTTGTATGGAGTAGGCACATCAGTATACCAAATGATATGAAAATGTTTAGTTACCAAACAAGACTAAAACAATATTTACATACTATCAGTAAGCATGTTTTTACCATGTTATATTATATCATAACAAGTACTTGTATGTGCAAAGTCCACTTCTTTTGAATCATTTATAGTCTACAACTTTTTTATGCAGTCAATAAGAGTAGGGAATGGTATAATCCCCAAATTAAAATTGACAGCATTTTTAATTTTGCACACTGGTTAGTTTTTAAACTCTAGCTAAGAGAACATTTTATTCTGATTTTTTACTTAGAGCTAGATGATGCCCAACGTTTGGGTCAAGAAGAGTAGGGTATTAAAACCATAATATACTATCCAAACTGAAAATGACAGCATTTTTTGCATGCCAGATTTCAAGAATAGTTGATTTTAAGAACATAAAAATCATCATTGAAACAACTTTTGTTATTGCTTTTCAAAAAATACCATTTCTGTATGCTTTGTGTAATAATATTTTGTTGATTAGCAAAGTACAACATACATTAGAAATGGCAGAACTGAGTATTTTGCATTAAATCTATCCAAGTTATGTTTTTATGTAGACTAAAGAAACAACAAATGTATCACAAAATAAATATGGCCTATAGCTAAACTTTCATCAAATCATTGCTCATATACTATGGACCCAATATTAAATTTTTGGGTGGCCAGTTTGCATTCTAGAGGTCATCTTGGAAGTTTTTAGATAAATCTTGTCATAACTATTCCAGGAAAACCACTTGATGGATTTGCTCCAAATTTTCACACATGTTACATGGTAAGATTTCTAGAGCTGATTAACTTTTCAGCAGCCATCTTGCATTCTGGTGGCCATTTTGAAAGTTCTTTGATAAATTTTGTCATTGCGACTCCAGGAAAACCACTTAATGGATTTACTTAAAAAAATTTACACATGTTACATGGTAAGAGGTTCTTGAACTGATTAACTTTTCTGCAGCCATCTTGCTTTCTGGGTCATCAAGTCAACACTGCAATGTTTTAAGTATGATATTGTTCACCCTGTGCCTTGTTCTTTTATGTTTATATATACAATACATGGATAAAACCATACCAGTTGCCATGCAGCATTACAGGTAGCTCTAGTAACACTTTTTCACATAGCTGGCCGCTGGCTGTAGGAAAAATTAAATCATTTAAATAATTTTGATTTATTAATGATGAATGTGATATGATATCTGGGGATCCAGGAAGTTTGGAAGTTATAGTGTGTTTAGATTATGTTTTATTAGATTACTACATGTTATGTATTAGATAGGATATTTTGAAATGCACTTGTCATTTCAGATGATTAGTTGGTTCACCTACAACATGTTTCAAGAAGCCTGTGTGACCTGTGTTTGATTTTTGATAACATAATAATAAGGAACTTTTAGTTTTCCCTTCAATTAAGTATGTTAGTTAACTTTGAACTGGATTATCGAACATTATGTTCCATGATGGTATTAAAAAGTGGTTATTGATCTCAAAGTACAACAAAGTTTATATGTCCAATTTTTCTTGACAATTTAATTCATTAATAATGAAGAGATTATCATTTGATATGACCCCTGTATGTCTTTCAGTAAAGTGGCACTCCACGAGTTGTTGATTTATGTATTCTGAAATGATATCATAAAAAATCCAAGTGTGAGTAATGTCATGTACTCTATCTATAATAGACAGGTATAAAAGATATTCCAGTATTTTATCATATTTATAACACCATAGGTTTACTCTGAGAGTCACGTCATATGAGAGGTTGCAAAAATGCCTAAAGACAAGACAAAACAAAAGCAGAAATCAGGCAAAAATAAAAGGAAACGAGAACAAAGAATAAAGAGTAAACAAAACACAACAATTCCAAAAGAATTAATTACAATACACAGCCAAGACAGTTCATCGGTGCTACTAAAAAGGGAATCATCACAGGGTAAGCAGAATGACTTAATTCCAAATGAAGCAATTGAATCACACAGTCAAGACAGTTTAACTGCTGAACCAAAAAAGGAATCATCGCGGAGAAAACAGAATGCCTCAATTCCAAATGAAGCAATTGAATCACGCAGTCAAGACATTTCAACTGCTGAACCAAAAAAGGAATCACCGCGGAGAATACAGAATGCTTCAATTTCAAATGAAGCAATTATAATAAACGGCCATGCTGTTCCAGAC